TTGAACCAGTGGCTTCATCTTAACTGTTGAGAAAACTGAAGCCTGGATTTACCCAAAGTGAGGAAGAGTCAGGATTTGAACCCAGATCCTAATGCCAGGCTCTGTTTCCTCATCTGACAAAGGTTTTAAGCCAAGTACAAAGTGCTGTGGCTCTGCTGGTGGAGGCTGGCCAGGCAGATTACCTCCATAAGCACATGGGAATCACAGAAAGTTATTGAAGGAGCATCGGGTCTCAACTAAATGAAGGAAGAGGCAGCCAGGCCTCCTCTGGAGTATGGAGCCCCTGTTAAGGGAAGGATGTTGATCAGGGCATGAGAGGAGGGGCCTGGTCAGCCAAAAGATTTGGACATAGTTAGCCTGGGGCAAAAGCCCGAGAGAAGGCTCCAGAGGACACAGTCACTGTCTGGTGTGATGTGATGTGTGTGTTTGTGTGCACGTGTGTGTGCGTGTGTGCGTGTGTGTGTGTGCATGCACACGCACGCATGTATAGGAGGAATCAGAGCAGCCATGGGGGGGCAGGGGGGAAGGTGCAAAGGGGAAGGTGGATTTCATGTCAGGAAAACCTTCCTCTTAGAAGGGGTGCAGATTAGAAGGGAGCCAGTGGTCAGAAGTAAATTAGGCATCCAAGGAGAGACAGGGTAAAAAGAGAGGGAGAGAAGATAAATGGTGAGGAAAAATAGGATGGAGGGAAATACACAGCTAGTAATTATAACTTTAAATGTGAATGGGATGAACTCACCCATAACATGGAAATGGATAGCAGAATGAATCAAAACCCAGAATCTGACAATATGTTGTTGTTTATAAAAAACATAGTTTAAAATGAGAGATATGCATGGAGGAGAAATAAATGGCTGGAGAGGAATTTATTATGCTTCAGTCAATGCAAAAAAAAAAAGGCAAGGGTAGCAATCATGATCTCAAAGGTAAAGCTAAAACAGATTAATTAAAAGAGATAAACAGGGGAACTACATTGTGATAAAAGGCACCATAGATAATAAAGTAATATCAATACTAAACCTATATGCACCAAATGATACAGCATCCAATTTTTTTGTGTGTGTGAGACAATTGGGGTTAAGTGACTTGCCCAAGGTCACACAGCTAGGAAGTGTCTGAGGCCAGATTTGAACTCAGGTCCTCCTGACTCCAAGGCCAGAGCTCTATCCCTTGCACCACTTAGCTGCCCCTACACCATGTAGCTGCTCCCAGAATCCAAATTTTTAAAGGAAAAGCTAGATGAATTACAGATAGAAAAAGATTGCAAAACTATAATAGTGGGGGGCTTCAATCTTCCCCTTTCAGAACTAGATAAATCTAACAAAAAAAAAAATAAGACAGCCATCAAGGAAACAAATGGAATCTTAGATAAGCTAGATGTGATAGATGTCTGAAGAGAACTGAATGGAAACAGAAAAGAATATACCCTTTTCTCAGTGGTACAGGGTTTCTTTGCAAAAATTGACCATATATGAGGGTATAAAAACTTTATAGTTAAATGCAGAAAAGCAGAAATATTAAATGCATCTTCTTCAGATCACAAGGCAATAAAAATTATATTTAATGAGGGACCATGGAAATTCAGATTAAAAATTAATTGGAGACCAAACAAACCTAATCTTAAATAATGAATGTGTTAAAGGACAATAAATAATTTTATTAAAGAGAATGACAGTAATGAGACAACAGACAAAAACTTATGGGATGCAGCAAAAGCAGTAATCAGAGAAAATTGTACATCTCTAAATGTTTTCATCTGTAAAATAGAGAAAGAGCAGATCCATGAATTGGGTATGCAATTAAAAAAAAAACTAGAAAAAGAACAAGTTAAAAACCCACAACCAAACACCAAATTGAAAATCCTAAAAAATTAAAGGTGAGATTAATAAAAATTGAACATAAGAAAATCATTGAATTAATAATAAAATTAGGATCTGGTTTTATGGGGGGGGGGGACCTACCAAATAGATAGCCTATTGGTTAATATGACTAGAAAAGAAAGAGAGAAGAAAACCAAATCACTACTATCAAAAATGGAAAGGGTGAATACACCACTACTGAAAATGAAATCAAAGCATTTATTAGGAGCTATTTTGCCCAATTGTATGCCAATGAATTTAACAATTTAAGTGAAATGGAAGAATGCTTACAAAAATATGAACTGCCTAGATTAGCAGAAAAGGAAATAGGATATCTAAATAAGCCTATTTTAGAAAAAGAAATTGAACAGACCATAAATGAACTTCCTAAGAAAAAAAGCAAAAGATAGATTTACAAGCAAATTCTACCAAATATTTAAAGATCATCTAATTCCAATATTAGATAAATTATTTGGAATAGTAGGCAAAGAAGGAATCCTACCAAACTGCTTTTGTGAAACAAATATGACACTGATACCTAGAGCAGGAAGAGCAAAAACAGAGAAAGAAAATTCTAGACCAATTTCACTAATGAATATAGATGTAAAAATCCTAAATAAAACACTAGCTAGGAGACTACAACAATATGTCACAGAGATTATACATTGTGACCAAGTGGGATTTATATCAGAAATGCAGGAATAGTTTAACATGAGGAAAACCATTAACATAATTGATTATATCAATAACAAAAGTAACAAAAATCATATGAATATATCACTAGATGCAGAAAAAGCTTTTGACAAAAATGCTTGAAAGCATAGGTATAAATGGATTTTTCCTTAAAATAATAAGAAGCATCCACCTAAAACTATCAGTAAGCATTATTTGTAATGGGGACAAACTAGAAGTCTTCCCAATAAGATCAGAAGTGGAACAAGGATGCCCATTATCACCAATATTATTCAATATTTTATTAGAAATGCTAGCAATTTAGTTGAAACAATTAGTAATTTTAGCAACGTAGCAGAATATAAAATAAGCCCGCATAAATTATCAGCCTTTCTATAGATCACCAACAAAACTCTACATGAAGAGATAGTAAGAGATACCCCATTTAAAATAATCATAGACAGCGTAAAATATCTGAGAGTATACCTGCCAAGACAAACCCAGAAACTACATGAACATAGTTATAAAACACTTTTTATACAAGTCAGATTGAAATAATTGGAGAAATATTAATTGTTCATGGGTGGGCAGAACCAATAATAATAATAATGACAATTCTACTTTAATCTTCTTATTCAATGCCATCTCAATTAAATTGCCAAAAATTATTTTATTGACCTAGAAAAAATAATAACAAAATTCAGTTGGAAGAACAAAAGGTGAAGAATATCAAAGAAATATGTATATATATATATATATGTATATGTATATACACACACACACACACACACACACACAAGAAGGAGATTTAGCAGTACCAAATCTTAAATTGTATAACAAGGTGGTACTTATCAAAATTATCTCCTACTGTCTAAAAATTAGAAAGGTGGATCATTGGAACAGAGCAGACATATAATTCACAGTAGTAAACATTGTATTTGACAGGGGCAGCTAGGTGGCACAGTGGATAGAGCACTGGCCCTGAAGTCAGGAGGACCTGAGTTGAAATCCGGCCTCAGACCAAACACTTGACACTTAGTAGCTGTGTGACCCTGGGCAAGTCACTTAACCCCAATTGCCTAAAAACAAACAAACAAAAAATTGTATTTGACAAATGTAAAGATTTAAGCTTGTGGGATAAGACCTCTCTATTTGGCAAACATTGTTGAGAAAGCTGGAAAGCCGTCTGGCAGAAACTGGGTATAGACCAATATCTTACACCATTTACCAAGGTAAAGTCAAAACAGATCCATGACCTAGATATAAAGGGAGAAATCATAAGTAAATTAGAAGATGGTGGAACATATTACCTATCAGATATGGGTTGGAGACAAATTTATGAATAAACAAGAGATAGACAGCATTATGAGATGTTAAATTGTTAATTTGGTTACAAACCAATGTAGCCAAGATTAGAAAGAAAGCAGAAAACTGGGGGACAGTTTTTATAGATAGTTTTTCTGATAAAGGTCTCATATCTCAAATATATCAAGAACTTTGTCAAAGGTGTAAGAATATGAACCATGCCTCAGCTGATAAATGGTAACAGGATGTGAACAGGCAGTTTCTGGATAGAAAAAACAAATCAAAACTCTATATAGTCATACAAAAAAATGCTCTAAATCACTATTGATCAGGGAAATGCACATTAAAACAACACTGAGGTACCACCTCACACCTCTCAGATTGGCTAAAATGATAGAAGAGGAAAGTGACAAATGTTGGAGGGGATGAAGCCATTGTATCAGTGACCTGGGGGCCCAGCCCCAGCCCACACTCTTCCTCCACTTTCTCTCCTCCTCACTCTTGCCTCCTCCGGTTCCCAGGAGGCCCTTGTCCTGGCCTTCCTGTCCAGCGAGTTGTCCACCCTTCTTGCTCCCCTCCCTGAGTCAGGAGGCTGAGGCCCCCAGGGGAAACTGCTGGGAGAGGTCAGTGAGGAGTGGGCTCCAATGGGTCCCTGCTGGGGCCTGGCCCATGGGGAGACTGCAAGCCCGGCCTGGGGACCCATTGACCACATGACCCTGCCTCAGAATGTCTTCCCCACTCACTGACTCATCCTTGGTCCAGCTCTTCGGGCCAGGGTGAATCCTAAGCCTCACTGCCATTTCCATGGGGCTTTGGAGGCTTGTCGATGTTTTATCCTGAGTAGTCTCACGGCAACCTGGGAGCTAGGGACCATAGGGATTGTTCCTCCCATTTCACAGATGACAACACCAAGGCTGAGGGAGTGACGTGATTGATCTGCCCAGCGTCACACAGCTACTAGGGGTCAGTGCTATGAGACCAACCCAGGCCTCTCTGCCTCAAAAGCCAGGTCCTTTCTCCCCTTCCTACTTGCTAGCAGCAGAGCCCTGAAGGCTGGAGTGGGTGAGGGGTAGGTCTGGAGCATGGTCCTGGGGGTGAGGATGGGGGTATGACCACCAGAAGATGCCCTGCCTCCTCACTGCTTTTCCAACACTGTCCCCACAGGCCTCACCTCCCTGAGAGGCTTCAATCTGGACATCAGCAGGACGTGGCTCACACCTCCTCCGGCCAGTGGCCAGGGTCCCCAAGTGCAGAATGTGCAACTGCATCAGGATGAGGACAACAGGCACACCTGGTGAGTTGGAAGGACCCAGGCTATGGGCGCCCCCACCCACACTGTGCTCTGGTCATCCCTAGGAGAGAAGGGGGCTCAGGAGAGCCTTGGGACACACCCAACAAGGGCTGAGGAGGTTGGGTCAGACAGATAGGAGACCCAGGTGTCACGAGAGCCTTGAGAGGACAAAGTATCCGGGGGGAGGGATGTTGGGGGGGAGGAGTGGTGCCAAGAATCTCTCTATCTCCGTTTGGAGACCTCCAGTGACGGGACCTCACTACTGCCTGACGCAGCCCCCTTCCCTCTTTGGGACAGTGTCCTAGGGAAGTTTGATTAACATCAGTCCACATTAAATCTCCACTTTACCATTTCTTCCAACCATAGCTCATGGTACTAAGTCTGAGCAGCTCTGGAAAGCCTTGAAGACTGCTCTTGGGTCCTTTCCCTGAGGCTTTTCTTCTCCGGACTAAACACACCCAGTTCCTTCAGGACCCTTCCCTATCCTAAATGACATCCTCTGGAGGCTCTCCAGATTATCAGCTCCTTTCTGGAATGAGGCCTCCAGAACTCAACTCGGCCCTCTCCATGTTGCTGAGCAAGACTGACTTCAGAGGGGCCCTCATCTCCTTTCTCTCTGTCTCTGTTTATCTCTGTCTCTCTCTCTCCCTCCCTCCTCTCTCTCCCTCTCTCCTTCCCTCCCTTTCTCTCTCTCTCCCTCTCTCCTTCCCTCCCTTTCTCTCTTTCTCTCTCTGTCTCTGTTTCTCTTCCTCTCTCCCCTCTCCGTCTCTGTCTCTCTGTTTCTCTCTGTCTCTGTCTCTCTGTGTCTCTCTCCTTCCCCCCTCTGTCTCTCTCTCTGTCTCTCTCTCCTCTCTCTCTCTCTCTCTCCCTTTCTCTCCTCCCTCCTCTCTCCCCTCTCTCTCTCTCCCTCCCTCCCTCTCTCTCTTTCTCTCTCTGTCTCTTCCTCTCTCCCCTCTCTGTCTCTGTATCTCTCTCCTTTCCTCTCTCTCCTCTTCTCTCTGTCTCAGTCGCTCTGTCTCTGTCTCTGTCTCTGTCTCTCTCTCTGTCTCTCTCCCTCTCTCTCTTTCTCTCTCTGTCTCTGTCTCTCTCTCTTCCTCTCTCCCCTCTCTGTCTCTGTCTCTGCATCTCTCTCCTTCCCTCTCTCTCTCCTCCTCTCTGTCTCTCTCTTTCTCTCTGTCTCAGTCTCTCTGTCTCTGTCTCTGTCTCATCCCCCCCTGCAATTCAACCTAAGATCACATTAGATTTTGGAGCCACCCCCTCACATAGTTGACTGATAGTGAGTTTTTGTGACACCGCCCAGATTTTTTTCAGGCACATTTCCAGCTAGGTCTCTCCCATTTTGTACTTGTGAAGTCCGTTTCTGTTTTAACAATATTATTGACATCTTTTGCTTTTACCTCATCTTCATTCCCCAACCTACCTCTGCCCCCTCGCATCCCCAGCAAGCCATCCCTTGTAACAGAGGACAAAAGGAAAAGAAAACCTGTCGGACCAAACTAATGTGCGTGTTGACCGAGCACGAGAGTGTGGCGGCCAGCCCTGCAAAGGGGGAAGCGGCCGCCCTCGTTCCTCTGCTCTGAGGCCGGGCTCACTCGCGTAGTGGTGCAGCGCTCAGGTAGCTGTTGGACTTTTGTCACAACCCTTCAATGTGTTGCTTTTCTCTTTTTTCTTTTGAAATTTTTACTTTTTTAAAATTCGATTTTCTTTTTGTTTTCAGTCCTAGATTTTATCCCTCCCTCCATCTCCTCCCCCACCCACTGAGAAGGCAAGAATTACAATGCTCATTACATATCACCACATGAAGTCATGCAGACGTATTTCCGTGTTACTCATATTTAAAAGTGAAGACTATATGCTTCAATCTGCACTTAGACTTCATCCATTTTCTCTCTAGAGAGAATCGCCATTTTTTTATATTGGCTTCGCCAATCCACAGTCAATTAATAGTCCTCCAGGTGTTTAGATCTGCCTTTATTTGTGTGAAAATTGTTTTGTAATTGTGTTCACATAGCTCCTGGGTTTGTCTTGGCGGGGAGCCTCCCAAGTATTTTCTGCTGTCTGCGGTTGTTTTACATGGAATTTCTCCTGCCCCTCTTTATCCTCCTCCTTTCTTGTTCCTGCGCAGCTCACCAGTCTGGGCCCCCTGGGACCTTCAGCTCTGGTCAGCCCACACCACGCCTCTGCTCCCTTCTTGTGCACAGGGCTCTTGAACTCAGCAGTGAGCTCACCTCAGCCTCTTCCATCTCTCCTGGGCTTGCTCGCCTGTGCAGATCTTCTCACAGGGTCCTGCCTGGCCTTCTTGGGACCCAGGCGATCGGGGATCAGGCCCAGATTGCCTCTCCTCTGTCACCAACTCTAACGGCCAGGGTCCCTTTGACCCCAGGGGTCCCAGCGTCTGCACCCAGAGCACCAGGCTCTCCCTTACTGGTTCTGCCACCCTCACGGAGGTAAAGCAGGACATCGGGAGGAGGTGGCCTATTTGCTCTCCTTTTCCTTTTTTGTTGTTTTGTTTTCTCTTCTTCCTTGGGGTTCCTCCCATTAGTTCTAATTGTTCTTTACATCATGACTAATGTGAAAATATGCTTAATATGAATGCATAAGTAGAACCTATATCAGATTGCATGTCGTCTTGGGCAGGGTGGGGGGAGTGGGAGGGAGGAGTGGGAGGGGGAGAAAATTTAAAACTCAAAATCTTATGGAAGTAAATGTGAAAAGTAAAAATAAATAATTTTTTTAAAAAGGGAGGGGAGACATCATGAGCTATTCAGCCCGTGGCCTCAGGGGGCTGGCAAGCTCTAGGAATGATGGGGACTGGCTTTGACTGAGCATACACCCTTAACTTCCCTGGGCCATGCGGACTCTCTGTCCTCATTTGCCCAGAGCGACAAAGTCTGCCTGGGGCTCTGGCTCAGACTTTGGGCTGTAGGCGTCTCTGTGAGGGGTTAGGGATCATTTTCTCCAGCACTCCTGGGCCACAAGGCCCCATTTGGTCATGGAGGGGACAGAGAGCAGCTAGAGATTATTGACTGGTCAGGGGCTTGCCCTTCCCATTCCTAGGTTCCCCAGAGATGCCTTAGTTCGCAGATGCATTTTCCGAGCAGAGATAAGAGGAGGAGGCTGGTCTCTGGCTTCTGGTCAGCTTAGGGGGAAAGGAGGGAAGGAAGACCTTGGGGGTCATCATCTTACAGAGCAGGAAACCGAGGCACCTCCCTGAGGCATGTCAAAGAGGGTTTGAGTCAGACGGCAGGCCTCGAGGCCAGTCCCTCAGGCTCCAGAGCCAGGGCCCACAGAGCCTCGTGGGCAGCCAGGGCCTCACAGGCAAAGGGCACACCTGTCTCTCAGGTCCCCCCTCAGGAGGAATAATTAAGGCATCAGCCCCGTGGGAATCCAGAAGTGAGAGTTCCTTAGCCCACTTCTGAAATCAGGGTGCATGTTTTTCTTCCTCTTTTTTTCTTTGTTATAAATTCCCATTCCTTATCTAGGGGCAGTCACAGAGAAAATGAGGAGGAAAGAAGGTGGGCTGCGGAACTATTTCTCTGAGAAACCTCAGGCCACAGAGAGAAGTCCCCTCACTTCCTCTCCTTCTGTCTCACCAGCCAGAGGACCCCAACCAGGCCCAGACTCTCAAGCAGCTGCTTCCCTTTTCTGGGCCTCAGTTTACCTCTCTGCCTGCTAAGGCCCCTGATAGACCCAGGTGCCATGCTCTCGAGACCTCAGGTCCTGCCTGAAGCATCACACAGGACCTGCATAGACTGGTTTTGCTGATCCCTTGGGCAGTACAGTCAGAAACCCAGGACCTCGGTGGACCAGAGTCTCAGACTACCTCAAACACAATTAAATGTAAAATAAAATCTTGCCTCAGGTTCAAACACTAGGGTTGGGGGAGCAGCTCCTCCGAAAAAGACTTGGGGAGAGTAGAGCCAGGAACCCCAGCTCCCCAGGAGTCCATAGTGCCACAGGGCAGCCATTGAGACCCAACCCGTCCACCTGGGGCTACAGGCAGAGGGCTGCGGCCCACCCAGGACTGTGGACAGCTCTGGGCACCACAACTTAGGAAGGCCTGGTTCAAAGGACTGGGGCTGCCCAGTAGGAATGGGGGTGCTTGGCCAGAAGGCCCCTCTAAGGGGGAGGGGCAGCCCAGGCCAGGCACTCTATGCACATAAAACACAGCATGCCCCCCCACCCCAAGTATCCCTTTCTTAAGGTATTCCAAAGGGCCATCCTGCCTTTGCTGGAAGGCCTCTGATGAGGGACAGCCCCCTCCCCAGCCCGCTGGAGGCAGCCCCTCGGCTGGGGGACAGCTCACCTGGTGAGGGAGCTGCTGGGGCCCTCTCACTTCCATCTGCTCCTGAGTAAAGGTTGTCCAGGGGCCCCTCGGGCTAAACAGAAAACAGACTTCCTGGGGTAGCTAGATGTTGGCCATGTTCACCCTTCCCCAACCCTCTGACTAGGATTATGCATTTTCCTTGCACAAATACACCCAATATAGCAGCTGCAACCATGCAAGCCCTCGCTCTTTTATGAGCTTGCCATTTCTTGATGGAAAAAGGAGAAAGAGTGAAAACACACCCCTCTGGAGCATGGAAGCCACACCGCTCACTGTGTTGTCTTTGAAGGTCCCTTGCTGAGAGCCATCATCAGGGTCACTCCATCCCTGGCCAGCAGCCTGCCAAAGTCCCCCAAAGCTGAATCCTAGTCTCAGACACCATCTGCTTTTTAAAATATTTTTAATTATAAACTTAACAAGTATCCCAGAACTCTGTCATCAGACATTCCCAACCAGGGACAAAATCCAGCTGCCGAGCCTTTGTCTTTGATGAGGTAGAGCAAAGAGTCAGACCCCTCCTCAGACCGGCTCTCCTCCACCCTCTTTGTGCAGGGCCAGGCTCTACAGATTTGCCTCTGCCTCTGCTTGAATGAGGCACTCTACAGTGTCTTCAGCACTCCTCTGGCGTTTTCCGCGTTCTCCGTTTTCTCTGACTAGTTGTTTCCCCTTGTCTGATGTTATAAATGGGTCACCTGAGTACCTCCAGATCCTCTTTCTTGGGGTCATGTCCTAGCATGCGGTGCTGTGTGCCCCAGGGTCGATCTCCTGCCCTCTCTGGGCTCTCCTGTTCAATGTAGCAGGAGGGTCCTTGGCCACCTGGCCAGGGTCTCCAGTTTTGACTTCCCGTGGGGGTCCTGACTCAGATGATCAGAAGGGCTCATGGGAGCAGGGCAGAGAGGAGCCCCAAAGCCTGGGCAGCAGCAGCCCTGCCCAAAGGGCACACCCACTGGGCAGGATGTGGCAGGACCTTCTTCTGCTGCTTAGCAGCCCCTCAAGGGGTATGAGATTCCACTGTCACATGTGTGTCCCTATTTGACAGGGAATGCTTCTGCCCCCGCCACCGGCCCACAACCCCAGCTGGGGTATGCCCTCAGCGGGGACTCCTGGGAAGGGGAATGGGTGGCTGATGGGGAGACCCAGGAAGGACAGACACAGGCTGTTGGAGGGGATGGCTGAAGCGCCAGCCTGCCCCGATCCCACCCTAGGAAGACGAGGACAAGCTGAGGGCTAGGGGGGCAGACTGCTTCCCTGCCAAGCAAGGCTAGGTCTCAGTCCTCGTCTGCCTCCTGGCTGCTCCTGGAGCAGCTGTTGCCATGGAGATGACCTGATTGCTTCCTATGAATGGGGCAGATTCTCTAGCAGGTCTGTCTGCACCGCTAACCCCCTGCCACAGCTGCTCCTTCCTGCTGACTCACCTTCCCCTCCTCCCCCCAGCCCCTGCACCAGGCATCTACGTGCACCCACCCACACAGGAAAGGGTGGCTAGTGGCTCCCCTTCCCCAGGGCAGGGCTCACCGCAGGCCAGGCATCAGGAAACCCAACAGAAATCACCCCCACACACACACCCCCTGCTCTGGGCGTGGGGCAGGTTTCAGTCCTCATCTTTGCACGGCAGACGGTGGGTGGCCTCTGAGGCCTCCCCCCAGCCCGGCCTTTCTCCAGCTTTCCCTGTGGCAGCCCAGTGGGCAGAGCCGAGACGCCCTCAGAGGACTTGATCTGCATTAGACTAAGCTGGGTTGCCATGGGGCAGCCCTGTCTGACTCTCAGTTTCTTCACCTGTACAATGCCAGAACTGGATTAGGTGGCCCCTGGGGGCCTGGCCTGGCACATCAGAGCCAGTAGGCTGTGACACAGGTCCCCTAGCCTTGGCCTGGGGCCTGGCTGATCTCCCCAGAGTGACCCTGGGCTTGCCCAGCTGGGAGGTCACCGGAGGATGGTGTGGGTAGCCAGACGGGGCCTGGGCAGGTAGGTCAAGTGGGATGCCTTGGCTCTTCTTTCCCTTGACAAGGCTCCTTGTTACTGGACCCTGGAGAGCTCAGGGAGCTGCCCACTTCCACAACTGTAGCCTCAGCCAGGATGACCAGATCCTCTGTCAGCCCCTAAGTGAGTAAGCTTTGGCCCAGAGGTCCCCGCAGGCCCTCTTCAGAGGCCTCCCCACCCCAGGCCTTCTAAGGCCAACCACGGACCCTCAGGGGCCTCCTCCCTCTCTAGCTTCAGGAGCTGCCCTCCTGGCCCCCTGCTACCTTCTGGCCCTCTGGCCACAGCCAGGCACTCACATGAGCTCTGGGAGTGGGTTTGCAGCCCTGGACAAGAGCCCTTTGGGCAGCCCGGGCAAAGCAAAGCCTGAACCTGGGAGGGGCAGGGTGAGGGGTGAGATGGAAGGGCCCCTGACTAGTGGGCTGAGGACCCAGGTTCTAATCCCGGCTTGGCCTCTGGATGCCTTTGGGTTAGCCCCATCGCCTCCTGGGCCCCAGTTTGCCCTACTAGAAAATAAAAAGGAGTGGTCCTGATGCTGTCTAAGGGCCAGTCCCACCTTTAGGGAAGGCCTTGACACCAGAAAGGGGACAGAGGCCCTGAAGGCCAAGGCCTGGCCCTTGTTGGCCCTGACAATGATCTCCAGGCCAGGCTGGCCTCCCCCCAGTAGAGGACCAGCTCACGACCTCTCGGGACCTTCCTCACTGAGTATTCCACCTTCCTGCTGTCTTCCCCTCCCCATGTTCCCGGCCCCTCTCCCTCCTGTGTCTTGAACCATTACAGAGTATGTGCCCACTCCTCAGGGGTCATGCCCTCAGGTCTCTATGGCTCGGGGTCCAGATGGCACATTGGTGGTGAGTGTGGGGGATGGGGTGTGGACAGTGGTGGGGGTCTGTCCCTCACAACATGGGAGTCACCACTGCCCCCATGCAGGGCCCTGACCCCTCGCCCTCCAGGTGCCTCAGCCCCATCTCTCGACAGGTGTGTGCTCAGGTGAAGAGGCGAGGACGCCCACAGAGCCTGGCCCAGGAGCTGAACGGGGCCTGCAGCCTTCTGGGGGCAGACTTGAGCCTACAGAGCTGCTTCAGCTTCCCTGGTGTAGGTGAGCTCTGGGCTGAGGCCCAGGAGGTAGGGTGGGGTGGAGCGTGGCCAACGGTGACCCTGCCTTGTTTCCTAAAGAGAATCTCTCAATCCAAGAAATATGGGGTGGAAATCCTGGCTGTTCCTGCCTGAGCCTAGATCCTGCTACTGGCAGCCCCCACCAGGACCACCCCAACGCCAACTGTAACAACCACAACAACAACCCCAGCATCAAGGAGAAGTGGGCCGAGGACGAGGAAGAGGAGGAGGATGGGGAGGCAGGTGAGAGGGCAGGGCTGGGGAGGTGGACTGGGCATCCCTCACCCTAGGGCTCCTGGAAATGGCCATGTGGGAGCACGGAACACCAAGGCTGAGGCCTGCCCTACTTTGGAGCAGCTCTCACGGCCAGGATGTTTGCCCAGAGAGCCAATGATAATCATGATGATAACAGAAATAACAGCTGACACCTGTCATTCAGTCGGTTTTTCAGTCACGTCCAACTCTTTGTGACCCCACTCGGGGTTTTCTCGGCAGATACTGCAGTGTTTGGCCATTTCTTTTTCCAGCTCATTTGACAACTGAGGAAACTGAGGCAACAGGGTGAAGTGACTCGCCCAGGGTCACACAGCTAGGAAGCATCTGAGGCTGGATTTGAGCTCAGATCTTCCTGACTCCAAGCCCAGCTCTTCAGGGAGGACTAGCACTCTGGTGGGAGGGCTTGCCAAGCCCTTCTCAGGGCCAGATTTGCTCCAACCCCAACCTGCTTCCCTATAGCTCTGGCCCCTTTGCACAGCGCTCTGGGTTCTGTCCCTTGGGGTCAATCAAGGCAAGCCTGTCTAACTCTGAGGACAGCCATCCTGCCAAGCACTCCTGCTGCTGGTTCTGTCATAGCGCACTTCTCTAGGAATGCCCTCTGGGCTGTCTAGTCATCCACAGGGAGAAGGCGGTCTGATGGGACAGTGCTTAGAGCACTGGGCTGGGACAGTTGGAATCCTGCCTCAGGCACTTCCCGGTGGTTGTGAGACTCCAATGAAACAGTCTTTGTAAAGCACGGGACAAATTGCTGTGATCCGAAAACCACTGTGTTGCACTATTAGCCCTCAGAAAACCAATGTGCCCAATTAGCACTCAGATTGTCCAGTCCTCCAAGGGCAGTGGGAGCTAAGGGAAGGTCGGTTCTCAGGCATTAACTGAGCTCTGGACAGTGGCTGTGTGGCCCTGCCTCTATTCCCCCACTGTCCCTGGGGCAGAACAAGGAGGCTCCCAGCACCCAGGCCAGTTTGGTGTCCTTATCACCTGGGTCACTGTGACCACAAACTTTATTCCTGTGGTCAGCCCAGATGGTCCCAGGCTCTCTGACCTTGACTGGGTCGGGTCTCACTCAGCAGCCATGGCGTATCGCCAGCCCGTCTGGCCTCCCCTGCCTGAGCTTTATCTCCACTAACAGGGCTTCTGAGGGCCTGGGAAACTTCCATGCCACCCAGAGGGCTCTGGTCCAGAGTTTGGGTAGGGGGGTAGCAGAGTATCTGACAAGCATCCCCCACTGGCTGGGGTAGAAGGGGGGCCCCGGAAGGTAAAGGCTGGCTTCTCACAGCCCCCCCCACCACACATACCTCAGGGTGTCCTGAACTCCATCTCCAGGGCTCCAGGATTTATTCTGAATCTCTGTCTTTGTGAATGCCAGGCACAGAGATCGCCATTGTCCTGGATGGGTCTGGAAGTATAGACCCCCCTGACTTCCAAAGAGCCAAGGCCTTCATCTACAGCATGATGCAGACCTTCTATGAGAAATGCTTTGAGGTACCTGCCGCCCTTGGGCACCTGCCCTGGCTGCCAGCCCAGGCCCTCTGGCCATGAGCCACCAGACTCTGCCCTTGACTCTCCCCTATTGCTTAGAGCAGTTGGGCCCCTTAAACCCGAGTGTGGGTAAGAGCCCACACTATAGTCATGACAGACAGGCACAAAATATGTGAAGCCCACTCACTTTCCATCCCATTCCACACAGGTGTCTTGAGCACATCTTACATCAAAGCAAGAGAAGGCCCGGACCTGGGCCTGCCCCCAGGGAATCCCAGTCTGGTCAGGGAGATGAGGCTAGCTCAGACAGGGAAAAGAAAGGGATGGATGGGAAAAGAAGCCTGGACCCCAGAGGCAGGGCAGCTGAAAGGGTGAGGCTGGCTCTACCTGGGCCTTGGAGGCTGGGGAGATGTTATACTGATGGCCATCAGAACATTCGAGGCTGGGAGGGCTGTATAGTGTCCTATGGAGGCCTTCAGGAGAATTCCAGACTGTGACCCCTCTCCCTCCTGGCTCCTCCAGGCTCCCTCCAGCCTGCCAGGGAGTGTAACAGCTGGGGCTGGGGCACCCCTTTCTTTCAGTGCCGCTTCGCAGTGGTGCAGTACGGGGCAGTGATTCAGACAGAATTTGACCTTGAGTACAGCAGAGATGCCCCTGCCTCCCTCCAGAGAGTCATGAACATAATCCAAGTGGGGAACGTGACCAAGACTGCGTCAGCCATTCAGCATGTCCTGTGAGTGCGAGGGTTGTTCTCAGCCCTGGGGGAGCTCCCTGGTCCACCCTAACCTACAGCAGCACCCTGTCTGGGCAGAGGCACGTCACAGGGCACCTGCAACAGTTCTGGGAGGTGCTTAGTGCTGTTAGGGTTTCCATCTCCATTCTGTAGATGGGAGACTGAGGCTCAAAATGGTAACCCCCAGGCCAGCAACCTCTCCGGTGGTGCCTCCCCACCTTAATCCTCACTGGGAACTCTCTCCAAGTACCCACACCTGAACACACACACATCACTGGGACCGCTGAGGCCTTGCAGAGCAGGATGGAGCCTCCACTCCAGTGGCTGGGCATCCCTTCAGTCCATACCATTTCCTGAGACCCCCCCCACAATTTTCTTCCCCAGGGATTCCATCTTCACTCCTAGCCGGGGATCTCGGGAGAAGGCTTCGAAGGTCATTGTGGTGCTGACAGATGGTGACATTTTTCAGGACCCCCTGAACCTGAGCACCGTAATCCACTCCCCTCAGATGGAGGGCATTGAACGCTTCGCCATCGGGGTAAATCGCCGTGGCCTAGGGAGAGGATGACCCACCTCCCCTGAGCCAGGCCCAGTGCTGGATGCCAGGATGGGAGCGCTGGGCCTGCCCTCAGGCAGCTTAGTTCTGCGGCCATGACAGCAGCCCCGTCTCCTCCATCACGCCCCCTCCACCTCTAGGCCATGGCCCGCAGTGGGCTCCCTTGGCCCATCTCAGCTGATGTCCCAGAAGCCTTGGCCGTGACCCCTCTAGCCAAAACCACTGGCGCCAGGGATGCAGAGAGGGCCGGGCAGTGTGACTGCAGAGGGGAGGGCCAGCCAAGGCCTTGTGTGGCTAGGAGGGCTGCCTGAGCTCAGCTTGGAGGGAAGCCGGGAATTCTGAGGAACCTCAGCGGTGAAGGGGGAGAGCGTTCTGACATGAGGGACAGACGCAGAGGCAGGAGATGGGGTGCTGCCAGCATGCCTGCCGCAGAGAGTGTGGAGGGCCACCAGATGAAATAAGATAGAGATGGTCAGAGAGGGCTGTGCCATGAAGGCCCTTCGCTGCCAGGCTCCAGGTTTGGCATCTTATTGGAGAGGCAGCGGGGAGTCACCAAAGATTTTTGAGTAAGGTAGTGAACCTCTGGCAGCTGGAAGACGGAGAGGAGGTGATTGCAAGGAGGTGATGGAGGCTTTGGCTCAGGTGGGGATGGAGAGAAGGGACAGGTGCAGAAGATAAAGTAAGAACCATCAGAACTCCCACTCTGAGCGCCACTGTACGCACCCCAGCTCCCTGGAGGGGCTGCCGTGGCCAAGGCCACAGATGAGGAAACTGAGGCAAGGCTGACTCCTTATCCACTATAGCCCACCATCTCTCAAGAGTCCGCCAAACCTGTCAAGTGAATGGCTCTAGGGAATGAGGGAACTGTCCTGACTGTTGACTTTTCAAGCCTGTCCCTCCACTCCCTGCTTAGGCAAAAGCCTCCCTTCTCCACATCCTGAAGCTCCCATTCATTCCTCACCCCTCCCAACTCTCTCTCAATCTCTCTCTCTCTCTCTCTCTCTCTCTCTCTCTCTCTCTCTCTCTCTCTCTCTCTCTCTCTCTCTCTCTCTCTCTCCCCACTCCCTCTCTGCTCTCTGTGTCTCTATCTCTTCTCCTTTCCTCCTCCCCCTCCCCTCCCCCTCTCCCTCCCACTTTTCTTCTTCTTCTTCTTCTTCTTCTTCTTCTTCTTCTTCTTCTTCTTCTTCTTCTTCTTCTCCTTCTTCTTCTTCTTCTTCTTCTTCTCCTTCTTCTCCTTCTCCTTCTCCTTCTCCTTCTTCTTCTTCTTCTTCTCCTTCTTCTCCTTCTTCTTCTTCTTCTCCTTCTTCTTCTCCTTCTTCTTCTTCTTCTTCTTCTCCTTCTTCTCCTTCTTCTTCTTCTTCTTCTCCTTCTTCTTCTTCTTCTTCTTCTCCTTCTTCTCCTTCTTCTTCTTCTCCTTCTCCTCCTTCTTCTCCTTCTCCTTCTTCTTCTTCTTCTTCTTCTTCTTCTTCTTCTCCTTCTTCTCCTTCTCCTTCTCCTTCTTCTCCTTTTTCTCCTTCTCCTTCTTCTTCTTCTTCTTCTTCTTCTTCTTCTTCTTCTTCTCTTCTTCTTCTTCTTCTTCTTCTCCTTCCTCTCCTCCTCCTCCTCCTCCTTCTTCTTCTTTTCTCTCTCTCAATCTCTGTCTGTCTCTGCCTCTGTCTTTCTCTCTCTCCACCCCCCACCCCAGCACCTGAGAGGTGGCACTTAGCATAGTCCCGGTATAGAGTAGGCATTTAATAAGTGCTTCTTCCCTTTCCTTCTTTTCCCTCCTTCCCGGCACTGGGCACAGGTTGGAGCTGCCTTCAACAATACAAAGGCAAATCAGGAGCTGCACCTGATTGCCTCAGACCCGGATGAGACCCACGCCTTCAAGGTGACAGACTACTCAGCTCTGGATGGATTGCTGGGCAGCCTTGAGCAAAGGATTATCAGTGTAGAAGGTAGCCCCTGGAATGATCCCGACCACCAGCTGCCCTGGCTGGCCCTCTTCTTTCTCCTCCTCCTTCCTTTCCTCCTCCTCCTCCTCCTCCACTTCCCTTCCTGCTCCCCCTCCTCTCCTTCTTCCTTCTCTTCCTCCTCCCCCTTCCCTTCTTCCTCTTCCTTCTCCCCCTTTCTCTTTCTTCTCCTCCTCCCTCTCTGTTGCTCTGGCCAGCAGGCAGGAACCTCAGAGCCCTTGGGCATGTGCACCCATGGCCAGTGCAATCAGAGGCTCATGGCTGAGATGAGAGAAGAAAACATACTGCCTACTGAGCAGCCTTGAGCCTGATTTCTATTAGGTTTTGACTAATGACTACCCCATCCTCAAATGCTGAAGCTGCACTGGCTGCAGGACAGCCGGAGCAGGGACGTGCCCTGCCCTTCACAGACATGTTCTTGTCCTATAAACTCTGCCCCTCCCTCCCAGACCTTCCCTTCCTTCTCCCTGCCCCCAACCCGATCTACACCAAGGCTTTCCTCAATGGGGTCTGAGCCCCATTGAGGAAAGCCACAACGAGGGCTTGTCATGGCCTGGACACTGACCCTGGCTGCAAATTAAATTAGGGATCTGGGCACCTTTCATTAAGTGGCCTCTTTTACCATCTGGCCTCCTCCTTGAAGAATGCAAAACAGCTTCAATCTCACGTCATGCCTCTCTGGCTTAACAGGCACTGTCGGAGAAGCCTTACAGTATGAGCTGGCCCAGATTGGCTTCAGTGCCCACATCCTGGGCAAGGTATGGGTGAGCCTGCCTCTGGATCCATTCATCTGTCCCCCCCACACCCACCCACCCATTCACTTATCTGTTCATTCACTTGTTCATTACTATAGTTCATAAGTTCCCACTTAGCGCTAAGCACCCTGGTAAGATACAAAGACAGATGACACATGACCCTTCTACCCCTCTCCCAAGGGGCTAAAATACTGTGAATCAGGGGCCTGGCAGCTGGGCTAATGAGCACCTGGTGTCATTGCTAATCTGGGGGGTGGGGCAGAGATTCCACCTTCCTCCTCCAGCCTTCCTCATCTCCATCATCTGGCCCATTTTCACTACAACAAATCCCCTAGAACAGAGTGATATCATTCTCTTATTTGATCAACGAACAAGTAAGACCCATCTCATCCCATCCCATCCTGGACTACCCCATCCTTCCCCATCCCATCCCATCCCATCCTCCCCTGCTCCTTCCTTCCCCATCCCATCCCATCTTCTCCTGCCCCTTCCTTCTCCATCCCATCCCATCCCATCCTCCCCTGCCCCTTCCTTCCCCATCCCATCCCACCCTCCCCTGCCCCTTCCTTCCCCATCCCATCCCATCCTCCCCTGCCCCTTCCTTCCCCATCCCATGCCATCCCATCCCATCCTCCCCTGCCCCTTCCTTCTCCATCCCATCCCATCCCATCCTCCCCTACCCTGTCCTTCTCCATCCCATCCCATCCTCCCCTGCCCCATCCCATCTTCTCCCTATTATCCTTCTGACAGCAGTTGCTCTCTCCTCCCTGTGGCAGCAGCAGGTCCTGCTGGGAGCTGTGGGGGCCTTTGACTGGTCAGGAGGGGTCATGCTGTACAACACAGACAGCCACCAGTTTCACTTCCTCAATGAGTCCACAAAGGAGCCCAGGACTGCCCAGTACAGCTACCTGGGTGAGGGCCGAGGCTGGGGCGGCTCTGGGCAGGGAAAGAGGGAGGATGGCTCAACGTCCCCAGCCCCAAAGGAGCCAGAGCTATCCTGGGGATCCCCTAGGGTTGCCAGCCTGGCTTGGGACAGCCCCCCTAATGAATGCCCCAGAAATACACCAAAGAGCTGGAGCTGGGGCTCAGGTGCAAAGCTGGGCAGCCTCTTCTCCGGGGGGATCCCCTTTTGTATCTCCCCCTTGGGTCTGCTCCCCTTTGAGCTTGGGTTTCCAGAATCTATCCCAATGGCAACTCTTTAAGTGCTCTGGCAGGGATGGGGGGGGTGGAGGGGGGTGCAGGTACAGACAGAGAAACTGAGGCAGACTGTGGCCATGCATGTGTGTGCTGTGTATGGGCACAAGTGAGTGAGCAAGCACTGCTGGCAGACTTTTGACTGCCAGTGAAGGGGTGCCCCTCCCCTGATGTGGAGCCCTAGGCCTGCTACTTAGCACTTGGGGTGACCTTGGGAAAGTCTCTTCCCCGTTGTGAACATCAGCTTGCCCATCTGTAAAATGAGGGGGTCCGAGGAGATGTTCTCCGAGGCTGGGGATCCTAGCAAACACCCCGCTACTGGAAGCAGTCAGACTGGACCCTCCAGGAAGCCCGGTGGGGGGTGGGAGGCAGTCTGGCTGCTCAGGCCCCTGCCTGCCCGATCAGGCACAAAAGGACTCCCATTTCTGTCAATGCTGTGACAGCCCTGGGGGTCTGCTTCCTAGCTCACCTGTGATTCCCCCACAGGTTACTCGCTGACAGTGGTGAAAACACACGGTGGCACCTCCTACCTCGCCGGTGCACCTCGGCACGGCCAGAAAGGAAAGGTGCTTTCTGTCCGGAAAGACGCTCCAGCCCAAGGCTTCCTCCCTGTCCTGGAGGGGGAGCAGGTACTAGCCCTGCAGGAGGGACAGAGAACTTTGTGGGGCCAGAGGAGCCACAGGTGGCCTGGAGTGGCTGAGGCTCCTCTGCTCTCAGGGGTGAGCCTTCCCAGAGCCAGAGCCCAGGGGCTTAATAGAGAGGGCTAAGGCAGCCTCCCAAGGAGAGCGATGCCTGTGAGCCAAGGGCTCAGGCCCAAACTCCATGGCCTTGGGTCCCTCCACATTTACTGATGGGTGATGCTGTTAGAGCAAGCCCCCCTGGGCAGGCCTGGCGCCCAGTGCCAGACAGCGAGGTCAGCTGGGCAGGGAGAGTTTCTTGAAGCTGGGGGATCAGAGAGGTGGGAAAGGCTTTCCAGCCCCAAGCAGGAGAAGGCAGCAGCCTTCAAGGAAGAGAGGGAGAGGTCCCAGGACGAGGGCGCACCTTCCCCGGGACGCAGACCTGCCCACGGCCCCTCAGACACCAGGGCTCTGCCCTGAGCCGCACAGGCACAGCCGCCACGGCTGGGGCTCAGGCTGCAAACTTCCTTCTGGGTTCTAGATGGGTTCCTATTTCGGTTCTGAGCTTTGCGCCCTGGATGTGAACCAGGATGGGGTCGCGGACCACCTGCTCGTCGGAGCCCCTTTTTATCACATTCGCGGGGAAGAAGGCAGGGTGTATGTGTACCGCCTGGAAGGACAAGTAAGGAGAAACCCCGTCCTCATCCCTCAGAGCGCCCCACAGATGACTAGCTTCAGTGGCCCCGGCACCCCCATCCCACGAGGCCTGGTGACGTCAGGCCAAGAGCCCTGGGCGGGGCCTTCTCGGAGGCCCGCTCCTTCCCCGGGGGTGTCAGCCTCTGGTCCTGACGGCCCATGGGCCCAGTGCACCCCGCTACCTGCCCAGGGCCTGCAGTCCTCGGGCAGGACTGCTTGGGGGGAGGGGAGAGGGTCTCTGGCCCAGTCCTTGCCCAGCTGGCGTTTCCTCTCTGGATGTAGAGCGGGTATGCTCTCCATGTCTACGCCCTACCAGGGCATGGGGGCGGGGCAGCAGAAGCCCAGGAAGACCTCGGCTGTGCACCCAGCTTCGTCCCTGAAGACCCCGCCAAGCTTCAGCTGCCTCTGTCTATAAAGCTGCGGCAACAGAGAAAGGCCGCCTCGAGATGTGGCCTGAAGGGTCCAAAGCACGTTACAAACATCAGCTCGCCTGACCCTCACCAAGGCCCCGGTGCTGTTATGATACCCGTTTTGCAGATGAGCTTACTGAGGCAGGCAGAGCTGCTGTGCCTTGCCAGGGTTGGATTGGAGCTCAGGGCCTGTTGACTCTGGGTCTTTGCTGCCTAAAAGGAGGGTTCCCTCAGGGGGTGCCGTGAGAACCCGTCCTCTCTGCCTCTGTTTTCAGGCTGACTCCTTTCCGCTGCTGCTGACTCTGAGCGGCTGGCCCCAGTTTGCCTTCGCGAGATTTGGGTTTGCGATCGCTGCCATAGGAGACCTGAACCAGGACAAGTTGGGCGATGTGGCCATCGGGGCCCCTCTGGAGGGGTACCCGACAGACGCGGAGGGCAGCTTTGGCAGCATTTACATCTACAATGGGCACCCCCACGGCATTACCAGCAGCCCCTCGCAGGTAGCCTGCAAGGAGCCCCAGAGGCTCGGGCTCGGGCTTAATTTCCCCGTGCCCCCCTCTCCCTCTCCTCTCCATATGGGGACAGCCCGTGCCCCGGGCACTCCCTGGGCAGACCTACAGCACACTACCATCTTCCAGGGGTTGGGGGTGGAAAACTGGGGTGCATGCCTCCTCACACACACAGACACACGTGCACACACATACATGCAAACACAGATACATACAGTGCAAACACACAAACACATGTGCACGTGTGTTTGCACATACACATAAACGTGCACATACAACGCACAAATGCATACACATGTGTGCATAAACACAACAGATATGCACTGAGCACATGCATACACATACATACAGTGCAAACATGCATGCACACAAACACGTACATGTGCACAACATATGCATGTGCATACACACAAACACACACAAATGTGTGCGCATACAATGCACAAATGCATACACCAGCGTGCCCAAACACAATACACATACACTGAGCACATACATATGCACATGCACAAAACATGGATACATACAGTGCAAACACACATGCACACAACCGTGCACATGCGCACATGTGCATGTGCACACACACAAACATGTCCAGTACAATGCAGAAACACATACACATGTGCACGAGCACAATAGACACACACACACAAGCACATGCATACATGTGCCCACATGTGCATGCAAACACAGGTGCACATATCACAGGTACACATGTATACAGACACGTGTGCATGCAACAAACATGTGCCTATACAATGCACAAATATATACATGTGTGTGCAAATACAATATACTTGCACATGCATACACACATGCACACACACAGACACACATGTGCCGTGGTCCCCCTTTTGGCATGCCTAGGATCATAGCAATTTTTCTAGAGCGGGGAGGCAGGAAGCACCTACTATGTGCCCAGCGCTGTGCCGAGTACTTTACAAATATGGTTTCATGTGCTCCTCACAACAATAGCCCCATTTTACAGATGAGGAAACCGAGGCAGGCAGCAGAGGTTCAGTGGCTCGCCCAGGCTCACCCAGCTAGGACATGTCTGAGGCCGGATTCAAACTTGGGTCCTCCCGACTCCAGGCCTGGTGTTTCCTCTCCTGTGGCAGCTGCCGGGGGCCCAGCAGGGGTCTGGTCCAGCTCCCTCCTTTTACAGTGAGGCCCAGGCCTGTGAGGTCACCTGCCCGGCTCTGGGGCAGGGGAGGAGGGTCCCCGGGAAGCCCGGGCCCCCATGCAGGATGCCCAGAGCCAAGCCTCAGCCTCTTTCTGGGGGCTTCCTTGGGTGGGGAGGGGCCGAAGGGGAGTCCAAGGCTTTCACAGAAGGCTGGATGGACCTTGCCTCGGCAGCGGGTCCATGCAGCCGACCTGGCCCCAGGGCTTCGGTATTTTGGGGCATCCGTTGATGGGGGAGTCGACGTCTCCGGGGATGGCTTGGACGACGTCACCGTTGGTTCTCTGGGCCGGGCGGCTGTGTTGTGGTAGGAGTGCCCCAACGTCTGCCCCTCTGTCCCTTCCCCATCACTGAGGGCCATCCCTTCTGACAGCGGTGTCAGAGCCCCTTTGGGAGAGGTGGGGATGGAACATGTGGGAGCTGGGGTTACCAGGGTCATGGGAACTGGGTGGGGAGGGGAGTCGGAGCCACACAAGCAGCCCTTCCCACATATAAAACCTGCCAAAGGGAGAAGAAAACACTAAAAATGTCCACCAGACCACACCCTACCTTCCTTGGCTCAGGCCTTGGCCTCCCGTCTCTCCCCCCCCAGCTCCAGGCCTGTGGTCAGGCTGCAGACCGCCATGACCTTCAGCCCCAACATGGTGAGGCCTGGTGACAATCAAAACATCAACACCCAGCTGTGCTTTGAGGTGCCCCTAGACAGCCCGTGGGCCAGGAAAGGTACCTGCTGCGTTTGTGTGTGCATGTGCATGTGTGAGTGTGTATGTGTGAGTGCATGGGAGTACATGAGTATGTGTGCATGTGTGAGTGTGTATGTGTGAATGTATACTTATGTGTATATGTGAGTGTGTGTGTGAGCGTATACTTATGTGTATATGTGTGTGTTAAGTGTTTTGTGTGTATGTGCTTATATGTGTGTGTGAGTGTGTATGTGTGTGTGAATGTATGTGTATGAGCGTATATATGTGTATGTGTGAGTGTATACTTATGTGTATATGTGAGTGTGTGTGTGAGCGTACTTATGTGTATATGTGTGTGTTAAGTGTTTTGTGTGTATGTGCTTATGTGTGTATGTGTGAGTGTGTATGTGTATTGTGAATGTATACTTATGTGTATGTGTGAGTGTGTATGTACACATGTGAGCATGTTAAGTGTTTTGTGTGTATGTGGTTATGTGTGTATGTGAGTGTATATGTGTATGTGTGAATATATGTATGTGTATGAGCGTATATATGTGTATGTGTGAGTGTATGTGTGTGAGCATATACTTACGTGTGTGTATGTTTGTGTGTGAGCGTATACTTATATGTATGTGTGACTGTGTATGTGCATGTGTGAATGTATACTTATATGTGAGTGTATGTATGTGTATATGTGAGTGTGTGTGAGCGTATACTTATGTGTATATGTGTGTGTTAAGTGTTTTGTGTGTATGTGCTTATGTCTGTGTATGTGTGAGTGTGTATGTGTATGTGTGAATGTATACTTATGTGTATGTGTGTGTGTATATGTGTGTGAGCATATACTTATGTGTATGTGTGAGTGTGTATGTGTGTGAGCATATATTTATATGTATATGTGAGTGTGTATGTACACATGTGAGCGTGTTAAGTGTTTTGTGTGTGTGTGCTTATGTGTGTGTATGTGTGAGTATGTATGTATGAGTGTGTGTGGGTGTATATGTATGTGTGTGTATGGGCGAGTGTATGTTAAGTGTTTTGTGTGAGTGTGTGTATGTATGTGTATGTGTAAGTGTGTATGTGTGTGTGAGCATGTGTATATGTGTGTGTGCACAAGCCCAGGGGCCCACTCTGAGGAGGGGGCTGCCTGCTCAGCCTGGGGGGCTGGGAACCTCTCTGTCTCTCTATCTTTGGGCCCCCCGACACAGAGCAGGGAGGCTGGTAGGTGCCTGGCTGCTCCTTCAAAGCAAAAGCCTGCTCTTTGCAGGGTCAGTTCTCCTGGCTCTTGGGCCCCTTCTCCCTCCTGACCATCCTGGCTGGGCCCCTAAAGCATCTGACTCTGATGCCTCCTTTTCCTGGGGCCCTGGAGTCCTCTCTGCTGGTCTCTCCTGTGCCTGGACAGCCCCTCCCCAGCTGTCCCTCATTCTGCCAAGCATAACTGTGCCACACGCTGTGCTAAGTGCGGGGAATTTCAGTACAATCAGATAGAAAGACACAGTGTGCCCACAAGGAGTGGGCAGTCTAGTGGGGCCAGGTGACACACGAAATGGAGGAGAAGAATGAAGGCAGGTTGGCTTGGGCATCCTCCTTACAAAGGAGCTTCTGAGAGGGACCACTGGCAGAGGTGGAGGCTGCAGGGCTGGAAGAAACCCTGGGGGAATCCATAGGACAGCCTGGAGAGATATGAATGCATGGGGAGTATGAGTCATTCAGACTTTAGCATGAAGGACCTCACTAGACCCTGCTTGAAAAGTGATTTCCCTGAGGTGGAAGAGAGGGAGAAAGAGTCCTGAAAGAGGGAAGAAGACAGAGCAGGAAGGGGAAGCTGAGCCTCAAAGATGTTAGAAACTGAGGGTTACAGATCTATGGAAGAAAGAGAGGGAGGAGGAGGGGAGGGAGGGAGGGAAAGAGGAAGAAAGGAAGGAGGGAGGGAGAAAGAAAGGAGGAAGGGAGGAAGGGAGGGAGGGAAAAAGGAGGGAGGGAGAAAGGAAGGAGGGTGAGGGAGGGAGGATAGAAGAAAGGAAGGAGGAAGGAAGGATAGAAGAAAGGAAGGAAGGAGGGAAGGGAAGAAGGGAAAGGAGGGAAGGAGAGAGGAAGAAAGGAAGGAGAGAAAGAAAGGAGGAAGGAGGGAGGAAGGGAGAGAGGGAGAAAGGAAGGAGAGAGGGAGGGCAGAAAGAAGAGAGAATAGAAGGAAGGAGGGAGGGAGTGGGGAAAGAAGAAAGGGGAAAAGGAGGGAGGGAGGGAGGAAGGAAGGAAGCATTTTTTAGGTTCCTGCTCACACGCCAGGCCTGGGCTAAGCACTGTATAATTATTATCTCATCTGATCCTCACGATGACCCTGGGTAGGAGGTACTGTTATGAGCCCCATTTCACAGATGAGGACACTGAGGCAGAGGTGAAGTGACTGGCCAGCTTCCCTGATTCCATCATTTGGAGAGGGCTGGCCCGGCTTGGCCTCCTGCCATGCCACATGGACAGAGGAAGGGGTCTGGGGCTGCAGCCGGTCCCACCTCCTCCTTCCCTGCAGCCTCTCCTCCAGCTGCCTCGCCAGGGCCTCCTGGGGTGGTCAGCACTGCCCTGGAAGGCAGCATCGGCAAGGCCCTAAGCAGCCTCATCTGGACATTCTGGGCTGGCTGGACGTCCTCTTTCCTTGGGACCGGGCTACCCAGGAGGGTCCTGGGGGCCAGCCAGGCCCCGGCAGAATCTCTCCTCCTTGCTCTAGGTTCCAAGGGGCTGTCTCTGAACGTGACCATTGAGCTAGATGTGAAGAAGCATCAGAAGCGGGTTCTGTTCGAAGATCGGAGCTCGCGGAGCCAGCAGGAGAAGCTGGGCCCCGGCTGTGTCGACTTCCTGCTCATCCCAGCAGAGGGAGAGGTAGGGGGGCCAGGCCCCTGTCCATGGCACAGCAGGGGGGTCAAGCCAAGTGAGGATGGTGAGCTCCTCTCCTGTGACCTCTGTGTGTCTGCCTGCCCTGCCCACAAGGAGCAGACAATCAGGAAAGGCCTTCTGTAGGAGGACCCCGGGCACCTGAGCCCTCACTTGGCTCTGCTCCCTTGGGGGTCTTTTCACCATGACCACCCCTCCTCCTGATCGCATCTATTTCTCCTTAGTTATTCAAGCACAGGAGGATGGGGGAGGGGAAAAGTGCCAGTGCCCTGGGGACAACAGGATGCTGCAGGCTACTCATCTGCTGGGGTGGGGGGGAGTCTGCTCACAGGAAGTGGGACCTCCCTCCCTCACCGAATCACTCACTCACTCATTCCCTCATTCATTGGGTTTCACAAACATTCAAGAAATCCCTGCTTCGTGCAGGGCACTGAGCTTAGCACTGGGGGAGATACAAAGCTTAGGTAGGAGGCTAGGTCCAGAAGGATGGTCATTACCAACAAGGGGAATCAGAGAAGGCTTCCTGGTGGAGGGCGCCTTGGCATTGGAGTTCACAAGACAAAGAGGGAAGACCTTTATCCCAGTTCTTTTTCCCAATGAGGACAGTGTAGACAGAGGCCTGGGCCTGGAGTCAGCAAGACTGACAGCAGCTGTGTGAGCTCAGCTTCATCTGTAAAGGGAGAGAATGGCTCTAGTAGAATTGTCATAGGATTCTGGGGGCTCCCATAAGGAAAGTGCTAAGCACCAGGGGCTAGAGAGAGAAAGCCAGCTTTGAGGCCAGGAAGACCCAGCTTTGTGACCCTGGGTGAGGGGCTCCACCAGTCAGAGGTCCCCTCCCAACAAGGTGCCAAGCTACCTTGGGAGGAGAAGCTTCCTGCTCCAGTGAAATCCTGTTCAGAGAGGACCCAGAAAAAAGCACTCTTGATGGGATGACCCACCCAAGAAAGGCTTCCTAGAAACCCTAGGTCTGTGGTTGGCCAGCCCAAATCCGTTCTGCTGGGAACCTGCCCCATGTGCCTGGAGGGCCTTGGGAGGGGGCTTCTCTGGCCACCCCAACAGAGTAGGGGAAGCCTGGGAGTGGAGCTGCTCCACTGTGGCTGGCCAGGGAACCCAGCACTCTCCTGTCTGACCAGTTCCAAGAGGCTCCCACCAGCTGACCAAGCACCCTTCTGTCATCTGCGGCAGGTGTGTGACAATGACTGCTTTTCCAACATCACAATCAAAGTCAGCTACCAGCTAAGTGAGCTTGAGGGCCACTGGGAGCACCCCCAACCCATCCTGGACCAGCTCAGCAAGTCCACGGCACACTTTGAGGTAATGGCCCAGGCTGGGCTACAGCCAGCTCGGGCGAGCTCAGCCCCAGCCCCTCATGCCAGGGCCTGCCCAGGGCTCCTCTGAGCTAGCCCCTAGGGATGAGTGGGTCCTTGTGGTCAGACCCTAGGCACTCTGAGGCTCATCAAGCAAAGGGCTGGAAGGTGCTGGTGATGCCTGAGGAAGGAAGTGGTGATGGGAGAATGGAGTCTGAAAGCAAAGCTTTGGGATGTTATATTTATTCAGAATTAGGGAAGCAGATTAAAAGAGCTCTCACCTCAGGAAATCAAAAATGCCAGCTGTGTGCACGTGTATGTGTCCGTTGCTTTGGGACTGTTTGGACGACAAGTCAGAGCCGCTGGGCATCTTGGATTCCTGAAAAATGCTCCTGCTGCCTCCTCCTAATAAGAATGAATAATAACAGCCTGAGCTATGGGACCGGGGTCAGGAGGGTTCTTGCCCGGTTGCAGAGCTGGACGCCCGAGACCGCCACGAGCAGACCTCTACCATCTCCACTGCTTCTTGCATGCCCCCGCAGGAGCCCATACATCTAACACGTGGTCAGACTCAGAAGCCAGCAGCATTTCTCTTAAAACGTCCAATAATTCCTAGACAGGATCAGAGACCACAGGCCAGGAGGGACCCTAGCGGTTACCTTGACCAACCCTCCCCTTCCCCCCATTTTACAGATGAGTATTAGGACTTTCCCCAATTCAGATGGTCCTTCACCTCAACTGGTCAGGGTCTGTGAAGGCGGATGATTTCTGCTTTGTTTAGCTTCCTCTGGAGGGCTCCCACCCCCCACCCCCGGCGGGAAGCCAGTCGGGGCATCTGGGGCTGCTACAATCGCCCCAGCCCCGCCCCCGGTGTTCTAATTGGATGTCTCTGAATCTACCTTCAGCTACCCTACGAGAAGAACTGTAAGAAGAAGTCTGTCTGCGTGGCACAATTAAAGCTGAAGACTCACCTTTCCCCGTAAGTTTAAATTCCTTCAGGGAGTGGCTGTGGATCATGCTGGAACTCTGGTCTTTTCGACACCAGAGTGTCAGAGAATGGGGTCAGGGAAGGAGCGCGGAAGAGAGGATTCAAATGGAATCTCTCTTTTACAAGAGTCTAGGCGGGGTCGTGGGGCTCCGCCCAAATACCCCCAAAGGCACAGAACTCACTACCTCGTAAGGCAGACATCTCTAAGCGTTGGGAAATTCTGTCCTGTTCTGAGCTAAAAATGGGCCCCTTATGATCTTCAGCCACTGGACGCCAGCGTAGCATTCAGATATTCATCCCACTTAAAACCTGTCAGACTCAGCTTCCTCTGACCACGCCATTCCCCAGTCATCTGTCTGCCTTTTAAAGCCCTTCACAGCCTGGCCCTCTCACCTTTCTAGTCTGATTCCTGTGGCAAACTAACATACTGGCCTGCCCCTTTTCCCCGCCCATACTCCTCTACCCCAGGTATGCCTCGGTCTGTGCTCATCCCTGCGCCTAAACCGTTCTGGCTGCCACAGCCTGGCTTCACCTCCTGTGAAGGTTCTTTTCCATCCCCCTCCACTTAATGCAGAGGTTCCCAAAATTATTTGTCCTACCGCCCCCTTTAAAAAAAAATTACTCTGCTGCTCCCTTGGAAATCTACTTTCTTTAACCCTTTAGTTTTGTGGGTTTTTTTTTTTGAAATTTACATCATTTAATATATATAAAATAGTTTTAAAATGATACATCTTAAATTTAATCATTTATTGTAAATTTGTGGGGGGTTTTCCTGCACTGAAATTTTGATGATGCAATATTGCATCATGTAGCCACAACACTCACATATTCCTACCTATGCATGCTGGACTTCCCTTCAATGCACAACACACCCACCGGCCAACACTTGCTTGTTAAGACCTATAGGAGGACTTGACCACTGATGGATCATAACTTGCATTTAGTGTGTTTATTTGGAAAACAATGTAATCACGACAATTTTAACTCTGTTGCACAACAAATGAAACACGTACAAACGTTTTTTCAAAATTTTCTTCTCTTTTCTTATGCTTCCACTGCCTCCTAATTTTTATCCATTGCCCCCCCCCCCAAGGGGTGGTATCACCCACTTAGGGAGCCCTTCTGGCCAAGACCAGCTCATCCCCTCCTCCATCATTCTCTCTCTCCAACCTTTCTATGCACTCTATCCTCAAAGTCAACCAGAACCACCCATACCATTCCTCATGCACCTTCAGCCTTCTCTTAACTGCCTCCCTTCCATAGACTGGAAGTTCTTTAAAAGCCTCTGCTCACTCTCTTCCTGCTGCCTGGCTTCCAGCCCTCCTCCCTCCACTTGACTTGGCATCTCAACACCCAGATCCAAGAGCCTCATCCTTCTTTGACCAAGGGATCAGCTCTCTCCTCCCTGGGTCTTCAGACTCTGGTCTCTCTCTTGGCTGTCCTCCTAGCTCAGGCTATCTGGTTAGTTCATCACCACACACTGCTCTGTAACCATGGGGGCCCGCAAGACTCTTCTCCTACATTCATTCCCCCCATGATCTCAGCAGCTCTCAGGTCCAGGCAGCTGATTCACATCCAGCCTTCACCTCCCTCCCATGCTCTACCTTTTGGGCATCTCCACTGGGATTTAACCTGTCCAAAAAGGAACCCTGAAACCCATGCCTAAGCTTTCTATTTCTACTGCCAGCACCTATTTCCAGCCTTCTAGATTTCTCACCTTGGGCCCATCCCCTCTCCCCTCTCTGTCCCCCACCCCCCAATCCAACCGACTACCATGACTTCTTGCCTGGACTACTGCCTCCTCGTTGGACTCCCAGCGTCTAATGACTTCTCTTCACCAATCCTCCACACCAGTGTCCAGCTTGAAGGGTGGCCAGCGGCCAGGTGTGTGACACCGGTGTGTGGGGCCTAAAGCCCAAGTCTGGCCGGCCATCGGCCCGCTCCAGACCCTTTGATAACTTGTCATGGGAGCTAGAACATCCGCATCCAAGCTTGGCCAGCTCAGCAGATCTTGCCAGGTTTCTTATAGATGTTGGTCCAACCAGAGTCCTGCTGTTTCCTAACAGTAGCTTCCCATCTCCTCCCTCCACACCTTTGCAAAAGCTGTTCCCACACTCTCCTTGCCTCTCTCAAAAACCCTCCATCTACTTCTTGAGGACAACATTCCTGATTCCTGTAATTATCCGTGTTCCTCCTCAAACTAGCATGGGCATACATTGTGTCACCACAGCAAACTGCCAGATGGGTGAGGGCAGGGGGTGCTTTTTATTTGGTCCAGGCCCTCTCCCCCATCACCCCCAGGGCTCCGCATGCCTTACATATTGAACAAACGCTTCTTGCATTGGGTTAGAGCCCCTACAGTTATTCCTGTAGGCAATCTGAGTGTGTCACAGGCCCTGCACTAGTGAGATAGAGCCCAAGGTGCCCAAAGAACAGGTGGGTATGACTGCTCATACCCTTCTCAGCAATCTCCAGAGCGATTCTGGAGGTCAGCTGGGCGAGGTATTATAGGCCCAAGGAGGCAGAAATAGAACACATTTGGCCAACTCTACAGCAATGAGATTGACTAGGATTCCTGGGAAAATTCTAGAATACTTAAAGTGATGGTTAGTGAAAACTAGAGAAGGAAGCAGTGATCACCAAGAGCCAGCCTGGCTTCATCAAGCACATCTCCTGCCAGACTCACCTGGTTTCCTTTGTGACAGCATTTCTAAATGGCTTCTGAGTTTACAAAGGCTTTAGAAAGGAACTGGGTAACATCTGTCATTTTTGTGGAAAAGATGAGAAGATGTAGTTGAGACACAAAGATAATTAGAGGAACTGGATGAAAAAGAGTAACCATTGGTTTAATCTCAGTGGGAAGGAGGGATCTGTACTGGGTCCTCTGCTGTCTAATATTTTTATTAATGACTGGAGTAAATCAATAAAAATTAAACACCTGCCATACATGAGGCACTGTACCAGGTACTGGAGTTAGAAGGACAAGATATAGTCCCTACCCTTAATGGGGGAAGCAGCATTTAAGTAGATAAATGAAAGAAATGAGTGCATTTCAAAGGCGAGGCCCAAATGGCTGCTGGGGATGAGGACCAGCAAAGCCTCATGAAGGATGTGGTGTCTGGGCTGAGCTTGTAAGGCAAGAAGGGATTCTAAGGGGCAGGGGGAGGAGGGCGTACATGCCAGGGACATGGCACAGCCTGTACTGAGCCACAGGGACAAGAGAGCAAATGTTGTGTGAGAAACAGCCAGGCCAGTCTGGCTGGACTAATGTCAGAAGGAGGATAATGGCTAGTAGAAGGCTAAAAAGTTCATTGAGAGCCACGTGGAGAAAGGATCTAAGTGCCAATCAGTGGGGTTTGTAATTGCTCCTAATGGCAATCAACAGGAAGCCACTGACCTTTGCTGAGCAGGGGAATGGTCCAAACTGTGCATTAAGAACATCATTGTAATGGTCCAGGTGAGAGAAGAGCAAGGTTTGGGCAAGGACGAAGCCATGTGAGTGGAACGAAGGAAGTGATGTCAGAGATTGACAGGTTAATGGCATGGACATGACCAGATGGGATTCAGGGCAAAGGGATTGTGGCAGATTTCTAACCTTGGGCCACATCCAGAAAGATGAAATCCAATAGGGATGAATGTGGTCTCACACTTCAATCAAAAATAATCAGCTTCCCAAGTACAAGATGAGGGAGGTGTAGCTGAAGAGCAGCTTGTCTGACAGAGATTCAGGGGTCTGAATGGACAAGCTTAACAGGCACCAACATGATGCAGCAGCTGAGAGTATGGCCCACTGTATATACCCATCCAAATATCTCGTGCAGGAAGAAAGTAGTGGTGGGGGTCACAAGGGAAGTGACGATAAACATTCATCTTGCCAACGCCGGGGAAGACTCCTACATGACCAGAATGATTTTGATGCACCCTCCAAACCTACAGCTGAAGAGAATCCAACAGGTGAGCCCAGGTGCTTAACATTAAGGTCCCCAAAGAGAAGGGAGCCTGCAAACTATACATCAACAACCTTAACTTCCATTGCTGACATTTTAGAAGATTCTATTTTTTCGGGGGGGGGGGTGTTGAGGCAATCAGGGTTAAGTGACTTGCCCAAGGTCACACAGCTAGTTGTGTCAAGTGTCTGAGGCCGGATTTGAACTCGGGTCCTCCCGACTCCAAAGCTGAAGCTTTATCCACTGCACCACCTAGCTGCCCCCTAGACGGTTCTTAAAGGGATGGTTAGTGACCAACTAGAAAAGGAAGCAGCGATTGCCAGGAGCCAGCCTGGCTTCATCCACAGCAAGGGAGGTCAGGCCACGAGCTGATCTTGTGGAAAACACAGAGGCATGTGGGCCTGATGTTTAGTGGGTTTGGAAGAGGCTGAATGCCATGTGAATGTGAACACTGCTAGTTTACCCAGAGCGCCAGGGTTCCTTCCCTTCTGATAAACTGTGCCGCCTTGTGTGTCTGCAGCCCTTGTCACCCCCCATACAGTGCCTGGATCCCACACCTGCCACACCTGTCCTAGCCATCATCTGTAAGATTGGCCACTCTGTATTCGAGAGGTCACATGTAAGTTCACTGGTGCATGCCAGCTCCCTCGCCTCCCAGGTTTATCATTTCTACCTTCACCATCCCCAGGCTGCCCAAGACCCACTCAGAAACTAAACCCCAATCTCAACTGTCCTAACCCATGCTTGCCATTGGGAGCAGGCAAGCCCTGAACAGGGTCCAAGCCAACATCCCTCACAGGGCCAAACGTTTTTTGTTGATTTAGAGAGGTGTTCATGTGTTATCTCTCCTTTAAAACAGGTTAACTTTTCAATAACTTGGCAACTACACGAAAAAAAATTTCCCGGTGAAACAGCAGAAATTACCATTAATGTCACCAAGTAAGTATTAACTGGGCAGCTAGGGGTGAGGTGGTTAGAGTGCAGAGCCTGGAGTCAGGAGGACCTGAGTTCAAATCCAGCCTCAGACTCTCACTAGCTATGTGAACCTGGGCAAGTCACTTCACCATGTTTGCCTCAGTGCCCTCATCTGCAGAATAAGCCGGAGAAGGAAATGGCAAGTGACTCCAGTATCCCTGCCGACAAAACTCCCGGTGGGGTCACTAAGAGTTAGGTTCACACTGAATCGACTCAAAACCAAGAAAGTACTAATTACATCACTTGGCTTTCCTACGGCGCTGATAGCTAAATGACAGCAATGCTTTGCTTTGATGTCAGAAGCCAGTTTTCTCTTCCCTAACTCCAAGGACTCTGGGCAGCTCCCTAGAAGAAACAGGCAGGCCCTGGTGGTCCTGAACTGAGCAGTTACACCCCCTGGCCTCCAGAGGGAGCTTGCAGCCAGCAGGCCTTTGTAAAGGTCCCTATGTCCCTACAGGCTCTCTGGGCTTTTTAGAACCTCCTTAAAGGGTTTGACTGTGAAGACAAGGCTGCTGCTTCTGGTGCCCCTTCTCCTCCACCCCCCCCTCAGCCCCTTGGGATCTGCTCCCAAAGGTGGGTGGGTGGGCCTAAAATAGTCAAGAAGAGGAAGGGGCATCCATTGTTACCACCTGGAACATTTAAGGGGCAGCCCGCTCAGCCATCACTTAGCCCATGCCCTCCTCTTGGACTCTGTGGGAAGGACCCAGCAGGAAGCCACTGCCAAGAAGCAGACTGCCTATCCTTTCCTTCTTTAGCGCCAACGGTCAGCCCCCCGTGAAGGAGACACAGGAGTTTCAGATCAAGTACCGCTTTGCCGTAGCTCTCCATAAGTAAGTGGGGCTGTGGCTTCCCTGGGGGATAGGGGCCATGGCGGCAAGCTGAAGCTACCACAACTGATTAAGTCTCCCCCAAGGGCCAACATTCTACCTGGTCCCCAGGACTGTTCGAAGTCTCTCCTCCTGCCTCCTGTTGTGGCCAACAGCTAATTTACAAGGCCACTCTAATTTATATCCCCTTCGGATCCCCTGTCCCCCATGTCCTGACCCGTTTGACCCTACTCCCTCTCCTCCTCAAGGGTCCCTGGACCCAGCTCAGCTCATTTGTGGCCTCTCACCTGCAGACCCCTAGTGACGTACATGACCACCAGCCAAGGCCTTTCAGAGCACAAAGAACTCCAGTTTAATGTAGGTATCCAGGGACTGAATTTGCCTGCCTCATGGTTATACCCAAGGGGCTGACTTCTGTTCTGTTCCCTTTGTAGATTCATGGGGAAAATCCCTTTGGAGCCGAGTTTGTATTAGAGGTCTGTGTTCCAACAAAAATGCAAAGCCATGAAATCATAAAAGTGAAGAACATAACAGCCACACAGGTACCTCGACGCTGTACAGGGCACTCTTGATTTGGGATCTTCCTTATGCTAGAACAGGGGCAAGACACTCAGGAAAACCAAGGAAAAAGTCAACAGGTGCTCAGGACGCCCAGTATCGTCCACTAGGGAAGCAGCGCACCGTTTTCTTCCCCCCTGAAGAAATCGAGGGCACCTCTGGAGGGAGTTCTGTCCCCTTTGGGCTTTCCAGGGTGGCTAACAGTGGAACTGACCTGGGGGTCTCTTGTCCCCCTCCCCCATCTCCTGGCCCTATAGGGACTCTCTCCCTCCCACATTCTTCCTTTCGATCCCTGCCCTACCCTCTCTCTTTCCCAGCCCTTCAGCATCAGCCTTCCCCCAGCTTTGGGCTGCAGTCACTGGCATGACACCACCCCTCCCCACCTGGCTGGAGCCCTAGGCTACCCTCTTTCCTCACCTACTCATGCTAATCTGCTCCTCTGGGTTTAGGCCCCCTGAAAACCTCAAACACCAAGACTGAAAGCACAGGAAATATTCATTTATAGAGTGGATCCATCAAAGAGTTTAGCGTTTTCAGTTTGGGGTGACCTGAAAACTGCACATAGCAAGTGCTTTTCAAAGACCAAGTTATACTCAGACACTTTTGTAGCTTAGCAAAATATCCAGGGGTCCCGCTAAGCCAGCAGGCAGGGCAGGGCCAGTCACCGGAACAGGCTATGGCTCTGCAGCAGCTCTGTGGCTGAGTCGAAGCCCAGCACAGACTCATAGAAGGCCTGGATCTGCTGCCTCACGTGGCGCATGGGTGCCGTGCTGACTTTCTTCTTAAAGACCATCTCCTTAAGGACCTTGTCCGCCAGGTAGTGGAGCCACAGCACGTTGCTGTAGGGGTGGTAGTGGGCCCAGCGATTGCGGGCCCTCTTTTTCATGAGCCTGTAGATTTCAAACTGGTAGTCCCCTTGGCCCTGAAAGAGCTCACGCTCCTGGGAGATGTCACAGAAGACCACCAGGCCGTCCTTCTCCAGCCGGGACAGCGTGTAGTCGATGATGTTGACGTGGATGCCATGGGTGGCGATGGTGCCCGCCTGCCCATTTAGCGTGTAGCCCAGCTCCTTGGCACTAGTTCTCTTCACCAGCACGTTGCCCCAGTGCAGGTCCCGATGCTCAAAGTGGAGGGCCGCCTCAGCCACGGCCAGGGCAGCCGTGACTTGGTGCAGCAGGCTTTTGGCGGTGGCCACGGAGGACAGCTGCTTCCTCATGTGCTCCAGGTCCACACCCCCAAACTCGAACTCCAGCACCACGTAGAGCTGCTCCTGGCCAAAGTAGTCTGGCCGCTCATTCTCCGAGCCTCGGAGGCTGCGGAAGGCGTCCCAGGCCTGAAGCAGCATGTTGGGGTAGGGGCCCTGCACGCAGCGCACTCCATACAAGCCGATGAAGCCCTCCGTGTGGTTGGGGGCCTCCTCGGACAGAAGGCTCAGCTCCTTGGAGATGATGATCTCGGGCAGGATTTCCCCGAAGGTTTTTTGCGGGCTTCCATTCACAAGCTCCTCCCCCTCGATGGCAATGACTTTCCAGGCCATCGTGTGGTTTTCCACAATGGTGCGGAACACTTCCCCAAACACGCCCTCCCCAATCTTTTCACAGCTTTTGATTCGGTCAGGAGATAGGTAGTGGCCAAAGGGCAGCGGCCCTTCCTGCTGGCATTCTCGGTAAACCTTCTCGGCGTCCGACAGCACCATCTCCTCCGTGGGCAGGGACTTGTTGGGGGTCAGCATGTACATGGAGGAGGTCTGCCAGGAGGTGCCGCTCGGGGGTCCAAACGAGTCTAGGAGCAGGGAGCTGCAGGGAGTGCCGTGGGGCTGCAACTCTGCCACGATCTTCTTCTTGTGGAAGGACAGCGAAGCCCGCCTCTGGGCCCAGCTCCATGCCCCCTCTGCGGCTCTCGGGTGCTTCTGGCCCAAGGGGCGGCCGGCCTTGCTGGTGGGCCCCGCCTGGGGGGGCTGGCTCCTCTTCCAGCGGGAGGAGCTGAAGCCGCTGATGCATGCCTTCCTGGCTGTGCTCTGGGGGAGGGCCCTGGGGGGCCGCTCCTTGTCCAGTGGGAGGCCTGGGGTGGCCAGGGCCAGCTTGGCCGCCTTCTTGCGGGGTCTCATGCGGGGCTCCTCGGGGGGCTCCGGGGCGGGGCTGAAGAGGGAAGTGCTGGTGGCCAAGCTGTCCCCAGCCACGGGTTGGGGCTCCTCGGTGGTGAGGCCCAGGCCAGGGCTCAGGTTGCGGACGGGGCTGAGGCTGGCCAGGATGCTTCGGGCCAGGCAGCTGCGGGGGACCGCGGGGGTGCTGAGGCTGGGGGAGAGGGCGGCCGCAGGGGATGGGGGCGGCTCCGGGTGTGGGCCTGGGGTGCTGCAGAGGGGGGGACCGGGCCTCTGGCCCCGAGCCCGGAGCCTCCAGGAGCGCTCGGTCACATGGCGGTGCGGCCGGTTCTCCTTGGCCGCCGCCGCCTCCTCCTCCTCCTCCTCCTCCTCCTCCTCCCCCTCCCCCTCCTCTTCCTCCACGTCCACGCGAGGCACCTTCGGCCGCACCGGGGTCCCGCCCGCCCACGCGGGGGTCTCGTTTGCCCGTGTCCGCAGACGCTGCCGCAGCCCCCGCGGGGCCGCCCCCGGGGAGCCGCGCGCAGGGCCCGGCTCAAAGTCTGGGTCCGAGTCCGGGGCCGAGGAGGGGCTGCTGCTGCTGCTGCTGCCGCCGCCGCTGCCGGGCTCGCCGCCGGGGCTGCCGGCGCTCAGGCCGCTGCTGCTGCTGGAGAAGAGGCGCCGGCGCTCGCGGGCCGGGGAGAACCAGGGCGCGGCCGCCACCCGGGCTCGCGCCCCGCGCCCTGGGACCCGCCGCCGCCCCCCGCCTAGGCCACCATAGGTTCGGAGCAGCCGGGCCTGGGGCCGCGGGGCCCGGGACGCCGCCATCGCGCCCGCCCAACGCCTGGAGCAAACCCAACGGCCACAACCAGGGCCTGACGCTCACGCGCAAGCGCACGGGGGCGCGCTTGCTCCTGCCCCAAATGCTGCTGAGGCGCCCGGGGCTCTGCTTCCGGACTCCGAATCTCCCGCCCGCCGTGCTCGCGCCGCATTTGCGCATGCGTAATCCTAGGGCCGCCCCAGAGGCCGCTGTGCCCGCCCCCTCTCCGCAGCCGAGGGTCTTGGATTGGCAGGCACTGACAGGAGGGCCCCGCTCACTTCCCGCCCACACGCCTGTGCGCATGCGTAGGGAAAGCGGGCTTCCCGCTCACTACCTCCAATAGGCTTGCGCCGGAGCCGGCCTTTAGCAGTGTAGGGGCGGAGCCAGAGGCTGGGTGAACTAAGGCACCTTCTCCTCTTCCCCCCCTCCCCGCTTACCAGGCCGGTTCGAAGTGCATCAGGGAACTAGGATGCAAGGCCCGCTGCCCAGAAGGGCCCGCCGAGGCTCCGGTGAGTGAGTGTGGGCCCAAGATGCCCCGCCCCTGTAGCATGGCCTCCCATCCCTGACTGGGACTTGGGGGAAATCCCCAGCCCGCAAGGGCCAGGGGTCTTGGTGTGTGCCCTTGGCTGTCCCTCCTCAGACGGCCAATCTGTCCTCTCCCTGGCCAGGACCTGCAGTGGCTGCGGCTGCGCTGCACGCTGTCCTCTGTTCCCTCCAAAGTGTGTCTGGGGGCGGAGCTGACCCCACAGGTAAGACAGGGAGGGGCCTTCAGGAGGGGAGCAGAGCGGGGCGAGGCGGCCCCCCACCTGCCTGATCCCCCTTTCCCCTCCGCAGCTGCCGGGGGCCCTGTCGAAGCTGTGCATCCCCGCTGTGATCTCCTTCGACGGAGAGGTGTACGAGAGCCAGGGTCCAGGCAGCCTCTGGAGCTCGGTAAGGGGCCAGAGGGAGCCTGGGGGGCTGGAGGGACTGAGGACCTGCCTAAGAGGAAACGGCTGGGAGAGGCCGATTTGCACCAGGTTGTTAGGGGGCGTTTGGACTCCTGTGCACTCCCATGAGATTCCTAACGAAAGCGCTGGGTGGACCAAAAAGGCCATAGAAGAGTGTGTCTCCCCCCCCCCCCCCCCCCCGTCTTCTTTCGCAAGGTCTCCACCTGCCAGGGCAGAACCCAGGGTGAAGGGAAAGAGGCACCTTCTCTTGACCTTTCTAGGAAATGTCCCTCTCGCCCCCTGGGAGGTCATCGATGGTGCCTCGCAGGCTGGGAGTTGGACCCTGGCTGGCCTGTTAAGGTGCCCTTCCTCAGCTCCCATGAAAATGAAATGGAATTAGGTTTGGAAAGTATCGGGAGCGTCTGAAAACAGTTTGTCTTATGTCTTGTGGACTTTCTCTGGCCAATAGGGCTGCAGCGGAGTGTGGCTCTGGCTGTAGGAAGGCCTCCGTTAAATCCCACGGGTCATTTGAGGCCTCTCTGAGGGGATGGCCGTGGTGTGGGGAAAAGCCAGTAGGGCAGAAAGCCAATGGCCACTGCTGAACGTACTGGAGGTCCTTAGTACAACTTACCTCCATACATATTTGTGGACTGGCCTTGAAGTGTGCCCATCATTTCTCAGAGCATCTTTTTGATGCAGAAACTCAAAGCCAGGCAGAATCCTTCAAGTCCAAAGGAAGCTCAGGTGGTATTTAATTGAACTGAGAGCAAGAGGTGATGCTGCAGACCCTGCTTGGGTACCTCCCTGGACAGGTGACTCACTGCCTTGGAAGGCAGCAGAGTCCATCTGTGAAACATCCCTTTTGGACAGTGAAGACCAGAAACACAGGGACTGTGGGATTGGGAAGAACTTGTGCCAATGCCTGTAAGAGAGAGTAGGGGAGCATTCATTCGAGTGTCTCTTACCCTGTTTTATAAAGCATGAACAGCCCACATTGATATAGCAACATAAGGGTTGCAAATGTTTCCTTTACAAATATTATCTCATGGAATCCTCACAACAGTCCTGGGAGGGAGGGGCTGTTATTATGCCCATTTTACAGATGAGGAAACTGAGGCAGGTTCAGTGACTCGCCCGGGGTCCCACAGAGCCTGTGCCCTCTCCACTGCAGCGCCCCCTAGTGCCCTCGAACTTCTGGAGAAATTCTGGAGAAGGGTGTGATGTTCTTCCCCTTGGGGTTACCTAGTGGCTGGTTGGCTCTCTTCCAGATCACCATTATTCTGCTGAAGGCTCCCGGCTTCCGCACCTTGCCCATCATTCTAGGAAGTAGTGCTGGTGGAGTTCTGCTGCTGGTTGGAATTATTGCCGTTCTTTGGAAGGTGTGTCCCCTTGGGAGGGTGCAGGCTGTGGCTGTTGGGCAGGAGGGGGATGAGGGCCTTGGCCCTGGCCCAATCATTAAGCATTTGTTAAATGTCAAGCCGTGCCAGGTGCCATACTGAGGACAGCCCCTGCCCTCAAGGGACTCGGAAGGGTCTGCTAGAATTCTGAATGATTCTTCTCACATTAGTGGGAATTTGTTTAAGTCAATCAGGACTGGAGGAATGGTGGCCCTGTGGGACTGGCAACTTTTTGATGGGGGGTAGCCAGGCAGGTGTAAAAGCCAAGGGAGAGTTATTTTCATGGTGGCAGAGAAGATGTGAGTCTGCCTGGGAACCACGCCACTGTCCACTTGGGAACCTAACGAAATAAACGCCTTTCAAATTGGGTGTTCCACATCATTCTGGACCCTATTGGCTACCAGGGAGGAGACAACAAATGGGCAAGTCCTTGGTAGGAACAGGGAGGCTTGGCTGGGAGAAGGGTGCTGGGCCAGGGTGGGGGAGGGGTGCAGTAAGAAGGCCAAGATAAGTTGGTTTGGGCTCCACCTTGGCCCTGCGCCAGAATGGAAGTCAGCCCACTAACCAGGGCCACACACTAGCGGCCATCTGTGGGTGCCAAATGATTTTCTTTGGCCTGACCCAGACCCTTCTCTCCCCCATCTCCCACCAATTTTTCTGTGGGAAAATGGGCTCCAAGCTGTGAGACCCCAAGCTTCTCACAAATCCTTGGAACCCACAGGCCCTGCTCCCAAAGAGCCACACTTTCAATGGGAGGAGGCAGTGAGTTGGGTCCCCTCAGACAGTGGCGCCTGGTGTAGTGGGCACGGCCTGAGAGGTTCAGAGCAAGATATGCTGACCCACTGTGGGCCAGATATACACGCACATACACACGTATGTGTCCCCGGGGTCTCCCCCAAATATCAGGATCCCCTTTGCTGATGGGTGCCTCTTGTCTTTGACGCTGCTTTCCCTGCTTTTTTTGTGATGGTGGACTTTGCAGTGTGGCTTTTTTAAGAGGAAATACCGGGCTGCTACCTCAGGCAGCGCAAGAAAATCAGAGAAATCAGAAAACCTGCCTCAAGCAGAGGAGTAGAGCCCTGCTCCTCGGAATCAGGGAGGACGAGGCTCAGCAGTGGATCGTTCTTGTTTGAGGCATCATCCATGCACACCCTCTAACCTGGCAACACCAACACTAGTTCTGTATCCCCAAAGAGATGAAAAAACAAAGGAAGGACAAGGATCCACATGTACAAAATATCTATAGCAGCTCTTTTCTGGTATGTGATTATGATGGAATGTTATTGTGCTGTAAGAAATGACTAGCAGGATGCTCTCAGAAAAACCCGGGGAGACTTTCATGAACCAATACAAAGGGAACTGAGCAGGACCAGGAGAACATTGTACGCAGTAACAGAAATCTCGTATGATGATCTGCGAATGACTCAGCTTTTCCCAGCAATACAGTGATCCAAGACAATCCCAAAGCACTCATGATGAAAAGTGCCATCCTCCTCAAGAGAAAGAACTGACATTGCCTAAATAAATATTGAAGCAGACTTTTTCTTACTTTATTTTTGTTTTTTTAATCTATATTTTCTTTTACTACGTGACTAAAATGAAAATATGTTTTGTATAACTATACATGTATAACCTATATTAAATTGCCTTCTTAATGAGGGCAGTGGGGAGGGAGGGAGAGAATTTTAAAAACAAAGGTTAAAAAATTGTTTTACGTGTAATTGGAGAAAATAAAATACTAAATAAATTTTTTTTTAAATTGAACTTTCCATAAAATACTTGGGATTCAGTCTGCCAAGACAAACCCAGGAGTAAAACATTTTTCACACAAATAAAGACAACTAAACAACTGGAGAAATATTAACTGCTCATGGATAGGCCAAGCCAATATGATAAGAATGACAATTCTACCCAAATCAATTTGTTTCTTCAGTGCCATACCCATCAAACTACCAAAAAATTATTTTATAGAGCTAGAAAAAATACCTAACAAAATTTATCTAGAAGAAGAAAAGGTCAAGAATATAAAAAAAAGCAAAGGAAGATGGTCTAGTGGTACCAGATCTCAAACTGTATTACAAAGCCATAATCATTAAAACAATCTGGTCCTGTCTAAGAAACAGAGTGGCAGATCAGTGGAATAGGTTAGGTACCCAAGACACAGTAGTCAATGACCATAGTAAACTAGTGTTTGATAAACCCAATGACCCCCACTTTGAGGACAAGAATTCACTATCTGACAGAAACTGCTGGGAAAACTGGGACACAGTCTGGCAGAAACTAGGAATAGACCAACATCTCCCACCACATACCAAAATGAAGTCTAAATGGGCTCATGATTTAGACATAAAAAGGTGATATCCCAAGCAAATTAGGGGATCATAGAATAGTCAGATCTATGGGAAGAATTTAGGACCAAAGAAAAGACAGAACATTACAAGGTGTAAAATGGATAATTTTGATTACGTTAAAGTTGTTGCACATCAAATCCCAATGCAGCCAAGATTAGAAGGAAAGCAGGAAATGGGAAATTTGTGCAGCAAGGCCTCATTTCTCAAATATATAGAGGACTGAGTCAAATTTATAAGAATACAAGTCATTCCCCAATTTTCAAAGGATGTGAACAGACAGTTTTCAGAAGAAGAAATCAAAGCTGTTTGTAGTCATATGAAAAAATGCTGTAAATCACTACTGATTAGAGAAATGCAAATTAAAACAACTCTGAAGTACACTCACACCTTATCACACTGGCTAACATGATAGAAACAGAAAATGACAAGTTCTGGAGGGGATGTGGAAAAATAGAGACACTGATGCATTGGTGGAGCTGCGAGTTGGTCCAACCATCCTGGAAGACAATTTAGAACTGTAGCCAAAGGGCAAAGGGCAATTGAACTGTGCATACCCCTTTGACCCAGCAATACCACTGCTAGGTCTGAATCCCAAGGAAGAGGGAAGGGAAGAAGGAAGGAAAGAATTTGAAACTCAGAATTTAAAAAAAAAAAATGAATGTTACATTTTTACATGTAATGAAGAAAAATATAAAATTAAGAGAAAAAGAAAAGAAAACAAATAAAAAGATTTAGCCATCCCGCCTGGCATTTACAAGGGCTAAAGGGATCCCCCATTATTGTAAAGGGAATTACGAAATGGGGGTGCTCTGGCAGTGTGGAGGACAGGGGAGTAGGGAGAGGGTCACAATTGCTGAGCAGAACTCCCCCCAGGCCGGGCCTCTCTGGCCAAGGTGACAAGGATGTTGTCCCTACCATGTGTTAGGCTTCTGTGTAGGTGGTCCCTGAAAAAGAGAACTGGGAGAAAGACCTCAGAGTCCCTCCCACCTGAGGGCAGGGTATGGAGAAACTCCAGGGCTCTTGCCAGAGCCAGCAGACAGAAGAGCCAGATGGCCTCTGGAAGTCGGGGTAGGGGAGCCCTGCCCCCAGGACTCTCAGTCTGCTAGGGGACCCCAAACCTCATGCTTTGGATATATGTGGATATTTTTAGATATGCTAAAAGCAACTGGTTTTCAATGAAACAAAAAGGGCCCAGCTTGCTTCCTTTTTAAAAATCAAGTTGAGCAATTAGAAAGGAGGAGGAGGAGGAGGGGAGGAGGAGGAGGAAGAAGAAGAGGAGGAGGGGGAGGGGGAAGAGGAGGAAAAGGAGGGGAAGAAGAGGAAGAAGGAGGAGGAGAGGGGTGGGGGAGAGGACAGAAAAGAAGAGGAAGAGGAAGAGAAAGAAGGCAGACCTAACATGCAGAATGGATAGTAACACAAAGGGGATTCTTGTGTCAGGGCTGGGAGGTGGGGGCTGGGGAGCTTCCTCCCCAGTCGTTGATCAGCAGCTCCCCCAGCCCCTATCCTACAATAAATAGGAAGTGTCCTACCCCTGGGCCATGGGGCCCCAGCCCCCCTCGTCTGGTGGGTGGGCCTTTCCCCAGGCTGCCAGTTCTGCCCGGCATGTGAGGGCTACCTTTCTGCAGGGAGGGCCTGCCCCTCCTCTTGCAGTGAGGCCAGAATTTTCTCCAACACTAACACAGCCCGCCTGGCAGTTGGGCCCAGGGAGAGGAGTCAGGCCCAGCCTTGGTTTTCAGAAGCCCCAAGCTTGTTACATTTTAGGATTCCGGTCAAATCCCCCAAAGCCGGATTCAGGAGCCACTCTTAGGTCCTCTTAGGCACGGCATCACCGAAGTCCAGCTCCCAAGGGGCTGGGTGTCCACTCAGTCATCATCTCATTCCCCTCCCAGCATCATCGAGTCCCACAGATAGGTGTCCATCCACTTGTCACGTCTGCCCAGTTAGTGTTGTCCTCGCTCCTGTTGGCTCCATTTGACCAGTCTTAGACCCCACATCCTTTCTGGGCCTGACTCTGTCCTAGGCTTTAGGCTGTCATGACACGAGGAGTGCGGGTGGTGCCAGAATGATGCCTCCTGCTTGGGCCCCATTAATAATAGACCACCCCTTCTATTTATGGCATCCATTTGTCACGAGTGTCTTAGCAGCCTCTACCCACATTCTTTTGGTGGAGCATTCCCAGCCATCTGCTCCTCTGTCCCTCGTCCTGGACGTCTGCCTTATTCTCCTCATGAATCTGCAGCTGAGGGACGGCCTGGGTCAACCCTCCCTCCAGAGCTCAGCTCAGGGAGGCTTTTTGGCTCTGCACCCTGGAGGGGCGGCCCCTGTGGCCTGGATGACTGGCCTCTTTTGCTCTTGCTCTACCATCATAGGAGGAAGAAGTCTGGACTCCAGACTAACCTCAGTTGGCCTCCCCAGCACTCCCCACCGCCACTGCGCCTAACTCTCTCCTACTCCTCCTCAGCACTCTGTCCTACTTCACTGAGAAGATGGTGGCCCCCTCCTCGTCTTTCAGTCTCAGAGATGAGTTGGCCATCCTCTAGCAAGGGTGACCTCCCTCATGTGCCTCGCAGGTCCTTGATCATTCCTCACCATCTTCAGTCCCTTCTGGGTTCTGGCTTCTCTCTAGCCCAACAAAGCTGCCTCCCTTCCATCTCGCTGGCCCCTCCAGCCATCAGCTTGTCTTTCTCCTCCTCTTCACTGCTGATACCATGAGCCTTAAACCCTTGGAGCCGGGTTCTGATGCCACCACTCTACTGACCTTGCTGTCTCTAAGGGTGCCAGGGACTGGCCTTATTTCGTCCTCTCTCAGTCCTGGCCTTGGGCCACACTTTATTCTGCCTACCAGCCTCCTCTGGGTCCTCAGGGCTTAGCTCTGGCTAAGTGGTGCAGGGGTGACTGGCTCTGCTTTGCTGAGTCATTGTCTTTCTGCCCCCTAAATGTGGGTGTGCCCAAAGGCTCCAGCTGAGACCCTCCCCTGCAGACCTCCCCTGCTCCCAGGTGTTCAGGTATCACCTCTGTGCAGATGACACCCTGGTCCTTGCACCCAGCCTCGCGCTCTCACGTGAGCATTTTAAGCTGCTTGGGGGTCGAGCCTCTCCAATCAGAAGCCCTCCTAGGGCCTCAGCCACCAGACTCTGCCCTGACCCCTCCACTCACCCCACCCCCAAGCCTGCTGCCTTCCACATTTCCATCCTGCTACCAGCTACCTCCCACTCAATCTGGGTTTCTTGGCCTTTCCTCCCCTCCCCTTCCCTCCCTTAACAGGGTTCTATCCATTGGCACAGTACTCAGAGCCCTGGGCCTGGAGTCAGGAAGACCTGAGTTCAAATCCAGCCTCAGACATAGACTAGCTGAGAGACCTTGGGCAAGTTACTTTACCTCTGGCTCAGTTTCCCAGCTGTAAAATAGGGATCGTAATAGCCCCATCTCTCAGGATTGCTGTGGATAAAGTGCCCAGCACAATGCCTCGCATATGGCAGGCACTTAAGAAAGGCTTGTTTCCTTCCTCCCTTCCCCTTCCTCAGCCATCCCTATCAGCTGCCGAGGCCTGCTGGCTTTACCTCCCCAGTATCTTAACTCATGGGGGCCCTACCTTGTTCAGCCCCCAAACTGGGGCCATTGCAAGAGCTTCCCAGTCCATCTCCCTGCCCGGGGTGTCCCCTCCAATCTTTCTCCTATAAAAGCACCCCCCCCCAAAGGTCTTACTATCCCGCAGGGGCCTATGGCCAGCCTCGATGGCTCCCTGTCGCCCCCTGGTGGCAGCCATTGTCTCCCGTCTCCCACACCGCCTTCCCTTCACTGATCTTGTCCTGCCTGCTGCATGGTCCCCTCATCTGCTCCCAGAGTTTCAATGATCACTTCTATGCAGATGACTCCCAGAGCTACAGATCTAGCCCTGACCTCTTTCTGGGCCTCCAGTCTCACATTAACGCTGCCTATTGGGCACAGCTGGCAATAATGGTAGCTAGCTTTATACAGCACTTTAAGGTTTATAAATGTTCTCTCTTTTGGTCCTCACATATTATCCCCATTTTACAGAGGAGGAAGCTGAGGCAAACAGAGATTTAAGTGACTTGCTCAGGATCACACAGCTAGTAAGTGTCTGAGTCCAGATCTGAACTCAGGTTTTTCTGACTTCACTG